TCTCTCGCTGTGTCTCTCTCTGTCAAATAAATAAATAAAATCTTTAAAATATATATATATAAACATTGATTTTGTATATAGACACCTTTTCAGGTTCTAGTCTTCTTAGTTCTAATAGCCATCTTTGCTCAATTTTTAATGTAATCATATAATCTGCTCTGAATGACATAAACTTAAGGAATTAAATGTCCTTAAGTTTTTTTTTCTTATCACAGAATTTGGTTATAATTTCCACTATTATTACTAATAAGCACCATTATTAATGAGCAGAACTAACAATAGCAGGCATTCCTTTTTTTGCTTCTAGTCTTAGATATAAGACTCCTAAAGTTTCCCTAGTAAGTTTACTTACTGTAGGTTTTGGTAGGTAGTCTTTATTAGGCTTCTTAGTTTTCTAAGAACTTTTATCTTAAATAGGTATTAAACTTAAGCAATGACTTTTTCTGCACCTATTAAGATAAATATATGGGATTTCTCTTTAGTCTACTAATATAATAAATTACACTGGTTGATTTTCAGATGTTGAATTATCTTTGTGTTTCCAGGAAGACCCTGTTTGGACAAAAACTTTTTCGAATACAATGTTGGATTCAGTCAGCTAATATTTCATAGAGAATGTTTGGCTCTACATTCATAAATGTAATTTTTCTTACTTGTACCTCCTATCCAGTGTGATATCAAGGTTATTCTACTCTTGTGAGTTGGGTGTTTCCTCTCTTGTTCTGTTCTCAGCAAAAACCTGTATGAGATAAGATAAATCGCTTTTTAAAGGATTTGGTAAAAAGTCACCTCTAAAATCATCTAGGCCCCGCTTTTAAATGGGAAATTGCCATTTCAGTTTTTTGAGTGATTATTAACTTATTCAATTTTTCTCAAGATAATTTTGGTATTTGATGGCTTCCCAGAAATTTTACACTTCATTTAAGTTTTCAAATTTATTGGCTTTATGGTATATATCTAGAGTTATTTTCCCCTTGATTTGAATCTTCCTTGTTTTTGACATTCTTGAACAGATTTGGCAGTGGTATGTCAAATTTATAAGTTTTTTGAATAATTACATTTCAGTTTTTGTTAATCTGTATTTGTTTTAGTCTTTATACTTTAATTCTTTTCTTCTTTACGTTTACTCTGCTGGTTTTTGCCTATGAAGTCTGTTCCATTAAAAGAAAAAATGGACGATGCCTGGGTGGCTCAGTCGTTAAGCGTCTGCCTTCGGCTCAGGTCATGATCCCAGGGTCCTGGGATCGAGTCCCTCGGTGGGAAGCCTGCTTCTCCCTCTCCCATTCCCCCTGCTTGTGTTCCTGCTCTCTCTGTCTCTCTCTGTCAAATAAATAAATAAAATCTTTAAAAATAAATAAAAGAAAAAATGGATTAAATTATTTATTACTTATTATATTAAAACATCTGTTATGTGATTTGTAACTCGTTTTTACTTTAAAATACAATAATTATATAAACATGTAATTATTACTTACAGAACTAACAAAGGGACACCGTCATGATTTTATTTTTTTTTTAAAGATTTTATTTATTTATTTGAGAGAGAGAGAATGAGAGATAGAGAGCACGAGAGGGAAGAGGGTCAGAGGGAGAAGCAGACTCCCTGCTGAGCAGGGAGCCCGACGTGGGACTCGATCCCGGGACTCCAGGATCATGACCCGAGCCGAAGGCAGTCGCCCAACCAACTGAGCCACCCAGGCGCCCCCCCGTCATGATTTTAAAAATTCAAACAATATGAATGAAGCAAAAGTTCCTTTTGAGATTCCCTATGCTCAAAACTGATTTGAATAGTTAAGGGTGTCACATAGCTATTAAGTGGCATAGTTTAGATTTGAACTGAGGTCTTCAGATTTTGAGTTCCATACTTTCACATTAAAAGATTTCTTCTTCAATCTGTGTATTTGTTGAATGAACATATGAATAGATCTTAAAGATGGTGAATGCTTTCAACCTCCACGTGCTGGTTGATGTTTGAAATTCGTCCTTAAAATTTCATTCCTCTTTGCTTAATGCCTTAACAACATTGTAAATTATAGTGCTTATCAGTCAGAATTGTTACTAGACATGTATATATTTTATTAAAAATTAAAAATAAAAACTATGTTTATATTTTTCTCATTATAGGAATACATGCTTAATATAGAAAATGTGAAAAGAGAACTACAAAGGAAAAAAAATCACATGTAATATCATCATCCAGAAATAAAATATATGTGTTGCACGATTTACAAAAATATTTTTATATACTGGTGAATATATCTGTGTCAAGTATTTTTCTAAAACAAACTTTAATGACTACATCATATTCCATACTGTCCACATACCATAATTTATTCAACCCATCTCCTTTGGGGGAACACTTGGATTGTTTACAATTTTTCATGGTTTTAGATAATATTTTACTAAATATTTATTTGTATTTTTAAATATATTTATATTTGGTTATATATTTACAGCTAAGTGTCTGTCCACTTGTTTATTTTCCTAGAACTGCTGTGTCAAAAGGTCTTCACATTATAAATTTTGAATAATAGTCCATAACAATGTGATAGTTTAATACCCAGTTATTCAATCAAATACTAATCTATGTGTTTCTGGGAAAGTATTAGTGATTAATATTTACAAGCAGTTGACTTTATGTAAAGAAAATTATTTTGGGATGATGTGGGTAGGCTTGATCCAACCAGTTAAAAGGCTTTAAGAGGAGAATAGAGGTTTTCCTAAAAAGGAATGGTGCCTGCAGACTGCAGTATCAGGTTCTACCCAAGGATTTCCATTCTGCCCCTTTAAGAGCCACTGAATTTGCCTCTTAATAAAAAAAAAAAGAAAGGAAGGAAGAAGAATTTCCATTCTGCCCTTATTGACAGCTTGCCCTAGAAATTTTGGATTTGCCTAACCAGCCCTCACAATCACAGAAGACAATTCTTTGTGATAAATTTCTTGCCCTCTGAATCCTGACTGATACACACTGTAACCCTCCCACCGGCAAAGTAAGGGACTGCCCGTGGTCATTTACATTGTAATGCGAAGTTTTCTTACATAAACAGATCTTTATCTATCGTAGATCTTTTTTTAAAATAAGATTTTATTTATTTATTTGAGAGAGGGAGTGAGTGAAAGAGCACATGAGCAGGGGGGAGGGGTAGAGGGAGAAGCAGACTCCCTGCTGAGCAGAGAGCCCAACGAAGGGCTGGATCCCAGGACCCTGGGATCATGAACTGAACTGAAGGTAGACACTTAACCAACTGAGCCACCCAGGCACCCTGAAATCGATCTTTATTGGAAAACAAATTCTGATAGAAGTACAATATCAGGATTCCTAGCTGAATGATTAGCATCCTGCTTATGTGTGTGTTTGTTTATGGTGTGGAGAGAGGTTGGTGAAACAAGATAAGGGATTAAAAAAGCATAGAACATTGAAGTCAAATGATTCAAGTTTATTTCTCAATTATGCCTAGGGCTTTAGTATATTACTGATATTAAAAGCCATTTTTAAATTAAATGCCTCTAATTCCAGCCAATGGGCTGGCCCTTTAATAAACGTTGTATGGACTCTTGGTAGAGTCAAGTACCTACAGGGCAACCAAAGTGACCTTTTAAAATGTAAATCATATCAGTCCCCAAGTTTAAAACAGCTAGCCATTGCACTTACAATAAAATCCAAACTTCTGATCTTGGCCTATATGATTCTACAGCTACCTACCTCTCTAAACTTCCCACATTTTTTTTCTCCCTCCCTGCATCCTAGATACATTGGCCTTTCCTTTTTCACCCACCATACCACTCTCCTTCCTATGGGCATTTGGACTTCCTATTCCCACTGTTTGGGGGCACTCTTCCTCTAATAGTCCAAGGATTGGCTTCCCGGGAAAAATCAAGGAAATATTATCTCCCCAGAAAGGATCACCCTATGTGGCTCAATTTTTCTCATTTTTCTTCCCAAAGTCTATCCCATTGTAATTTTTTTTTTTTTTGGAGTAGGAAGCATATCTGAAATGATCTCATTTATTTCATTTTTTAATTGAAATTCACCTATTCCAATAGAACATTAATATTTCTTTACCCAGTTCTAACTATATACCCAGCAATGTTATTAGCACTTTACATGCTATCGACCCATTTAATTTTCACAACCTACAAGGTAGGTATTATTAGTACTCCAGTTTTATAGACGAAGTGCCTGAGGCTCAGAAAGATGAAGTGACTTCACTTGCAAAACTGCATCTCACTTACTGGCTCTGGAAAGAAACCTCCAGACCAACTGTTAAGCCAGGTATAGACCAGCAGCAGCCCCTCTCCAAGGATGTTAGAAATGCACACTCTCAGGCCTCGTCTCTGACCCAATAAATTAGAATGTGCAGTTTAACAAGATCACAGGTGATTAAGTATAAAATTTGAAAAACACTCAACAATATATCAATTTCCTAAGTCTCACCTCTAAAGTAATTCAAAACACACACACACACACACACACACACACAGCCATACTCCAAGCCTAGAAAGCCAATCACACAACACATCAATACTCCAAGCCTAGAAAGCCAATCACACAACAGAAGAGAGTACTGGAGCGGTCAAAAGGTTTTCCTTTATTGGGGCTGCTACGGCAAGCAGAAATCCCTTGTGTGGCAGCCCTAACCCCACCTCATCCCAGTTCAACCCACCTCATTTTTAGATCTCCCTCACTAAAGTGGAAGCTAGCTATGCCTAAACTAGGCAGAGCTTTGGAGACTTTGATGGGAGAAGAGACGGGAAGCCGACACACGGGGAGAACGGAAAACCATTCGGGCAGCATTCCTTAGCCTCAACAAGCGCAGCCTTCTGCCCTTAAGAAAAATGGCTGTCGGCGGAGCTCCACTTCCGGCCACGGAGCCAAACAAAATCCGGGCGGAGAAGAAACCGGAAGTGGCCGCCCTTTTGGCACTCCTCCCACCTCCTCTTTTCTTCCCAGCCTCTCCCGGGAGGATGAGGAGGCCTAGGGGCTAAGGCTGGTCTGCGGTTGCCGGGTGACAAGTTGGAGCCGGGACAGTGTGAGTGCTCGCTCCCTCGGCCGCCGGCCCGTTCACTTCGCTCGGGGTGACCTTCGTGCGGCCAGGGACAGGGGGCGGGGAGTCGTGCGCCGGAGCTCTGTGACGAGGCGCCGCCGCCGGTCTGCGGGAAAGGAGCTAGCGAGCGGATTTGCGAGCGGGGCCCTCGGCCGGGTCGAGCCCGCGGAGCCCGCGAGGCCGGAGCCCGGGGCCTGGGGAGCCGGGGCTGGCGCTCGCGGGTCGGTGGTGAGGTCCGGTCCCTAGCTCTGCGGGCGGGGCTCCAGCGCCGGGTGTGGAAGGCCTTTCCCCAAGGTAGGTGTTCACACCCGGTTGAACCGGGTCGTTGCCCTCACCCCGCTTTTCCCACGCAGCTCCTTCACTAAGTCATTTCCTGACACTCTGGAAGGCTCGGCCTTTTTTTGTGGCCACTCTGCTCCATTCCACACGCATACATACCAGGAGTAGACTGGCGTGTAATCGTTTTTGTTTGGTGTCTTTTTCATGAGAAGTTGCCAGACAAGAAAATTTGTTATAACTTCCATTCTTTGAAGTTCTTGGTACTTTGGCTGGAAACGTTAATGCTCGCTTTAATCCTTGCCTGCTTATTTGTTGTGATGAGAACAAATTTTTTTTAAACGTCGGAATTACATTATCATATTGGAATTTTGTTTCCTCACTCTGGGTATCCACCTCCACCCCCTAGAGCTCCAGGTTGAGAAACTTGTTTGCGAACTTGTTGTATCTCACTAACCCTGTCCATAAGAGTCACGTGCAGTCACAGTTTTCCACAATTAGTTTCATCTTCACCAAAGGGAAATAAGGTAGAAATTGCAACCAAGATTTTGGCCAATAGAGTTAGTTATTTTAATGGACTGTCACTGAAAAGTAGTCTTTAATTGCTTGTCTAAAACATTTCTAAAAAATTATCCAAAAGTATTTTGACAGTTTATTTCACTGGGGAGTTAATGTGGTAGGATGGTGTCATTAATTTGCATGTCTCTATCATATAGTTTAACTTGTGCTTTTCTTTTTTCTTTTTAAAGATTTATTTATTTTAGAGCGAGACACAGGGAGAGAGTGGGGGAGGGGGAAAAGGCCGGGAGAGAATCTTAAGCAGAGAGCAAACCCGCCCCCCCACCCAGCATGGAGGTTGACGTGGGGCTAGATCTCAGGACCCTGAGATCACAACCTGAGTGGAAACCAAGAGTCGGATGCCCACCCAGGCACCCCTAATTTGTACTTTTCTAACTTTAATTTTCTTCCCCCAGTAACATAATGGCAGAAACTGCTTCTCCACTGAAGCACTTTGTGCTGGCCAAGAGGGCAATTACTGCAATCTTTGACCAGTTACTGGAGTTTGTTACTGAAGGATCCCATTTTGTTGAAGGTTAGTTTCTCTAAGTTTTTAAAATAATATGGTTGAAGGTATATGCAGGTACTTTATCCTTTTACCCTTAGTTACTGAACACCTATACGAGGCATTGCTCTGTATTCTTGGAGAGATGCCCTAACAAATAAAACCCTTTTCTGCCCTCCAAAGGAAGAAGATTAAGTGGTATTGATAACCTAAGATATAAGTGGTTGTATGTATGATACCACTAAGCCCTTTATTATATTAATAATGCATTTAATCATATCAACACTGGGACAGATTTTAATTGCAATTATTATATTTTATTATTTTTTAAAGATTTTATTTGTCAGAGAGAGAGAGGGCACAAACAGGGGGAACGGCAGGCAGAGGGAGAAGCAGGCTCCCAGCTGAGCAGGGAGCCCAATGTGGAACTCTGTCCCAGGACCCTGGGATCATTACCTGAGCCACGGGCAGACGTTTAACTGACTGAGCCACCCAGGCGTCCCTAATTGCAATTTTAAAAGATGAAGAAACCAAGGCACAGAAAATTTAAGCAACTTGCCCAAGATCACCTAGCTAGTAAATGCCCAGACTAAAAATCAGGCAGCCCATATTTAAGCCATATACTTATCTCTTCCCCAAGTCGGCTGTCAGCCTAGATCTCAGACATATCTTCTCAGATGAGGCTGGAATGTGGTGGGGGAAAAGGTCAAAGAAGTTTTCTTAAAGTGAGTGTAACTGTTCAAACAAGGTTGGTGAGGAATGTCTTACTGGGGAATACTGCTTTGGAGGTAACTGTTGAAATCTTTTCTGGTTCTTAAGATTACTTTTTTTTTTTTGACAAGGGCACAATGAAAAGCGAGGGATTCTATATACTTCACTGACATTGGGGAAACATTTGGTAGGTTGGTAGAGTCAAACTTTTTGAGGATAGCCCCTGTAATTTTTAATCATTTTGATATTTTGGGGGCGGGATTCTTAGGACCTGTTGCAACAAGGCATTCACCTTTTATCAAATATTCAGATACTGTGGCATTTTTACTTTTCAAAATGGCCATGTTAATATAGAGCAAAGCCAAAATAGGCAAAATGTGTGCATATCTTAGGTATTCCCTTGTATAATTAACCCAGTATTCATTTTTGTCACTTTTTCTAACACCATTTCAATTTTGTAGCAACATACAGGAATCCAGAACTTGATCAAATAGCTACTGAGGATGATCTGATAGAAATACAGGGTTATAGAAACAAACTTTCCATCATTGGTGAGGTGCTGTCTCGGAGACATATGAAAGTGGCATTTTTTGGCAGGTAATCCTTTATTGTTTCTCTCAAGGGTAGTTTCCAGAAATCAGCTTTTCTACGTCATATCTCCAACTTTGTTTCTGATATTTCAGCAAGTGATATTCCTCTCCCTTTGCCCCACAAAGAGTTTCTCCCTTTGCTAAATGCTAAAGCTATTAGCATGAGAAAGCATTTGTTCGTTTTAGCTCTTGCTATAAAATGAAACTTTCTAAAGGTCAGTTGTATTTTTACTTTTTAAGGATGCCAATGTCTAAGAATTAGCTTCTTAGCCAGTCCAAAGAATAGAAATACAGATAAATGATACGCATAACTTTTTTTTTTTTTAAGATTTTATTTATTTGACAGAGACACAGCAAGAGAGGGAACACAAGCAGGGGGAGTGGGTGAGGGAGAAGCAGGCCTCCTGCCAAGCAGGGAGCCCAATGCGGGGCTTGATCCCAGAACCCTGGGACCATGACCCGAGCTGAAGGCAGATGCCTAATGACTGATCCACCCAGGCGCCCCATGATATGCATAACTTTTGACTTTCTAAAGTTTCTCTTAATTATCAAGTGTGCCTTCCAAAAGGATTCTCAGCTTCACGATTCCCAGAGGGAGAATAGGAAATGCCATTTGTTAACATAACTATCTGGAGTGAGAGCCATCTCTGACACAGCTCATGTTCATTTAAGAATCATTTGTTAAGGGCGCCTGGGTGGCTCAGTTGGTTAAGCGACTGCCTTCGGCTCAGGTCATGATCCCAGGGTCCTGGGATCGAGTCCCACATCGGGCTCCCTGCTCAGCGGAAAGCCTGCTTCTCCCTCTCCCACTCCCCCTGCTTGTGTTCCTGCTCTCTCTGTGTCTCTCTGTCAAATAAATAAATAAAATCTTTAAAAAAAAAAAATCATTTGTTAACTTTCTGTGTACTGTGCACTCTGTTAAGCACTAGGGATGCAAAGACAGATGAGTAGGCCCATATAATGTGCTGAGTATCAACAGAAACATTTACTCACTAACTTTTAAGCCCATCTTAGGGCTTTTTTAGCACTTGTGATTTCCTATACTTAGAATTCCCTTTGCCTTGTTTTATCTATGTCTGGCTCTTTCTCACTCTTCAGATCTCATCCTAAATGTCATAACCTCAGAAACCTTCCCTGACCGTTCTAAAGTATTCCTTCTCATTTATTCTCTTCTAAAGTGCCCTGTTTATGCCCTTTAAACCTTTTCCACAAAGCTGTGCTGGGTTTTTGTGTGTGTTTTTTTGTTTGTTTGTTTGTTTTGTTTGTTTGTTTGTTTTTGTCTGCTTCTCCTGCTCTACCTTACTCTCAGGGCCTTACAGAGTGTAGTATGAGGTACTACATAAATAGGCCCTAACTCAGATTAGGGTGGGGTGGGAATGGGAAGGAAGAGGCCTCCTGGTGAGGTGATGACTTGTCTATTTGAGAAGGAGAAACAGGTAATAGCTTTGGATGTGAAAAAGATCCAGCCCACATTTAAGGAGATGGGGACTTTAGACCAGCTTGTGATGGGAAGAATTTGGGGTTGTGATTTCAAATTGTCACAAGAAGCAAGAAAGATAAAGGCAAGGATAGCTATATGGGAAAGGTGGGATTTGTGTTCTTCTATTTTTCTGATATGTACATTCCTAATATCTGTGTAGATCAGGTTGGCAACTTTTTTGTAAAAAATGCAACCTGATGAAATTTCTACAAAGTTTGAATTCTAAAAAGGTTGGCCTTAGACCCAATGAAAGAATAAAGTTTTTACTGTTATGTTTTATTTTCATGATTTTATATATTCTTCAGGACAAGCAGTGGGAAGAGCTCTGTTATCAATGCAATGTTGTGGGATAAAGTCCTCCCTAGTGGGATTGGCCATACAACCAATTGCTTCCTGAGTGTTGAAGGAACTGATGGAGATAAAGCCTATCTTATGACAGAAGGATCAGATGAAAAAAAGAGTGTGAAGGTATAATATTTGACTATTAGCAACAAAATGTACCTGAAATAATGTCCTTGTTCTTTAAAAAAAAAAAAAATAAGATGTCTACATTGCTGGAGATAGAAGAACCATTAATGTTTCTATTTGTAGCTTTAAAGCCATCACTAATATTTTGAATTCTCTAAAATTTTTTTGTCCTTATTAGAAGAATAAAACTTGTCCTTAAAATAAATTAAGAGTTTATTACATTTTAAAATAATGTTCCCAGTGAAAACAACATTATTGAAGTTTATTGTTGCTGTTTAATCTCAAATCTAATTTCATCTTTTGAAAGAAAACTTTGTTTAAAAATTGGGCTCTGGAATGTTTTTGATGCATGTCTGTGCCTTTCGAAACTATTTTATCTTTGCAGCGTTTATGAGCACATTCATGAATAAATATATAATAGTTTTATCAGATAAGGGCCAATGGCAGTTCCCTACCCTTCATAAATTTCTTAAGGAACCCAGTGCCACTAGGTTCCTTTAGCCAAAAGAAGGGAAAAAAGTGTTTCTCGGTATCATCACTTTCTCTTAAGTCTTCCCCCCCCCATTTTCTCTTGTCTTAAGATCTCTCCCACAAATGCAGTAGTTTAATGTTTAAAATCCATGCCATCCTAGTTTTTGCAAAACTGAGTTGAATTCACTGGTCTAGTTAATTGTTCTGTGAGTTTGCTGTTTGATTTAGCTCAGGTAACTCAATCTGTGTAATACCCTCCAGATTAGCTATGAGGAATAAAGGAGGCAATGTTTAAGAAAATATTTTCAAACTTTTAACCCATACAAATGAAGGAATCACTTATTTCTTAATCAGGATTTTTACCAAATCAGAATTCAAACTGGCTTTATATCCTTAAAGTAAAATGTATATATTTTCAAGTAATCGTCTCCTTTTTCTTGGTCTTTGCTCTCTACTTCCAATCCACTTCCTTCATGCTCTTTTGCTCCTCTCCCCTACTCCAAAATTTAAATTTGTTTACCTCAAGTGTGGCCTGCTTTAAGGTATAGACTTTTGAGTCTTGTGCTGTAGTAGTTTACTTAGTAAAAGAAATGCAATATTAACAGCTAATAAGCTTACTAAGTACCAGGCAGTATTCTAAGTACCTGCAGTAACTCAAACCTCACCACAACTCTGTCAGGTGCTTTTATTATCTTAATTTTATAGACCAGGCATCAAGATTTTAGTACAAGTTTATAATTCTATCAAAAAGTTTATGAAAGCAAGCAAAAATAAAACCTAGCTAACATTGTCACTATGGAGATTCACCTCAACCCTGATCAAGACTGTTGTGCCAATTTGAAAATAGATGTTTCCTTTTAAAAATGGATACCCCTACAGTTCATTTGTATGTGTGCTGGTGTCCTTTCTTTGAATATTAACTTTATATTAAGCCCTTTGTATCTATTGTATGTTTAACACATGCATGAACGGTATTAAAGTAACACATTAATAAATTAGCATATGTCAGAAATCATCTTGAGAAATAGAAATATTTTAGTGAATTCAGATGGAAAGAGAAGGCATAGTCATTGATGTCAAGCAGGCTTATGTGAGTAAATAACTGCCTACTGAGAAAAATCCTTTATTAAAAGAATATGTCTTGAGCTTCTCTTGTATTGTTTTAGTCTTATTACTCTGGTGTTTTTAAACCTATCTTAATAATGTTTCTTTTGTTTTCACCCCTTACTACTGAGCAGTACATTTTAGAAGAGACAGAAAATACAAATGGGCAAAAAGAAACTCCAAAACTCACAAGCTTCCTAAAGCCAGTGGAAACTTCCCTGTGGTATAGAGTTAAATATGTTTGTATTTTGTAAACAAAATGGTTTCATGTGTGCTATTTTGACTTGCCTTTTTTCTCTTAATATACTGTAAATTTGTTTTCGTACATATAATATCAATTTCAGATGTTACATAGGATTCCATTGCCAGAATTCACCTATTGGGCATTTAGAGTGTTACCAGCTCTGCTTATTTTTGCAGAGTGGATGAGTAAACTTTTAAGGATATCTCCCTCATCCCCTTGGTAACTCTAAAACTCAGTTTCTCAAGATTGCTGAGATGGTTTTATTTCAGATTATTTAAAGTTCTGCTTTTTGTATATGTTTTGCAAAAATAAATATGCCAAATCATAGTGTTTTTAATTTTTGCTGAGTTTTATTACAAGCAGAGTTTTGTTTTTTCTTTCCCTTCCACTTCAGACAGTTAATCAGCTGGCCCATGCCCTTCATATGGACAAAGACTTGAAAGCTGGCTGTCTTGTACATGTATTTTGGCCAAAGGCAAAATGTGCCCTCTTGAGAGATGACCTGGTTTTAGTGGACAGGTAAAATTACATATGAACTGCATTTTCTCCTTGTAAAAGTTTATTTAATAGAATAGTATTGCTTGCACTGTGAATTGTGTAACACTAATGAATCACAGACCCTGAAACAAATAATACATTATATGTTAATAAAAACAATTAAAAAAAATAGTATTGCTTGCTTTAGCATATAATACATAAAAATTTAAATGTTTAGTTGTTGCTTTATTCTCATTTGTTAGATTGTTAAGGAGCAGATAAGGTGTTGGTTTATGTTTTTTACTGGTTACATAAAGTGCCAGTTTCTTAGTCTAATTCTATTAGAAGAAATTTCAAGGATAGCCACTTTTTTTCCTTAGATTGTAGTTGGGTAAGTAGCTGGGCCTTAGAGATTATCTAATTCTAGATAACTGGGTAGGTAACTCTGATTAGGTAAATTTTTTTTAACTAGTAATACTTTTTTTTTTTTTTCTAAGAATTGAGAGAACACACCCATGCAGTGGGGGGGCGGTGGCAGAGAGAGAGCATCTCAAGCACACTTGGCACTGAGTTTGGAGTCTGATACATGGCTTGGTCTCGCCACCCTGAGATCACAACCTGAGTTGAAACCAAGAGTCCAACGCTTAACTGACTGAGCCACCCAGGCACCCTAGTAATAAATTTATGCTTGAGACCCGTTTCCCAAAATAACTTACTGGAGAGTTTACATAGCTTTTCATTGTTCAAGAATTAATTGAATACTTCTGGAATTTTGTTTTGACTCTTCTGATGAGTCTTCATTTATTATGTGTTCTTTGACTACATTGGTGCTAAGTACAATGATAATGCACATCTGCTAAGCAATGTCCTTAACTAAAAAAGGTAGTTAAATGATTTTTCAAAATTTTGGTATGCTCTTTTGTTTTCTTCGGTTAAAATTTCAGTGTTGTATGGAAACCATCTTGGTTTTGGTGATGGGCTTTTAATTTTGCCTTATTTCATAGCCAGACTATGTCCATGACCCCAGCCTCTCATCTTGCCACATTGTCACAGGATACATCAAGCCAGTGTGTAGATAGTCGCACGATAATTTTTATAGTATAGATAGTATATTAAACTTAGGTCTTAGCAGAGGGTGTTTTATTATTTATGCTAATGAGCACTTAAATATTTTCTGAGCTGTACTGGACACAGCTGCTTGCACCTTTGATTTTGGTTACATATTAGCCTGTTTGTTTTTTGGGTTTTTTTTTTTTTTAGTACTTTTCATCCGTCCAAAGCATGAGGATTTAAAAGATTAAAATATTGACCATGTTACCTACTTTGTCAAAAATCACAAGGTTATTTATTTTATTTTATTTTTTTTAAGATTTTTATTTAGTTATTTGACAGAGAAAGACACAGCAAGAGAGGGAACACAAGCAGGGGGAGTGGGAGGAGAAGCAGGCTTCTCGCCGAGCAGGGAGCCTGATGCGGGGCTTGATCCCAGGACCCTGGGATTATGACCTGAGCCAAAGGCAGACCCTTAACGACTGAGCCACGAGACGCCCCTATTTGTTTTTATTTTAAAGATTTTATTTATTTATTAGAGCACAAGCAGGGAGGGAGGGCCGGAGGGAGAGGGAAAAGCAGGCTTCCCACTGAGCAGGGATCTGATGACATGGGGCTCCATCCCAGGACCCTGGGATCATGACCTGAGCTGAAGGCAGACCTTAACTGACTGAGCCACACAGGCGCCCAAGTTTATTTCTTTTTAGTAAATAAACTTTTTTTTTTTTTAAGCATTTGTGATGTTGTCAATTGGATAGGCTCTGGGATTTCTTTGTCAGCAGAATAAATATTGAAGTTTATAAAACAGACTCAGCTTGCCACAAGTGCTCTCTTATAGGTGAAAAAGTAAATCTCTTAGGCTTTGTGCTGAAAACTGGTAGAAATCCTGTCCTTTAGACTTCAGTTTATAAAAGTTTAAAAAAAATGCTTTTCTATAATCAAATTTTCTTTTTAAAAAATATTATAAAATACAGTATTATCTTACTCCCATTAGTCCAGGTACAGATGTCACTACAGAGCTGGATAGCTGGATTGATAAGTTCTGCTTAGATGCTGATGTCTTCGTTTTGGTTGCAAACTCTGAATCAACACTAATGAACACGGTAGGATTTAATCGCATTACTATGTTTGAATGGTAGGAAATGAGATAGTGTCTATTCTGAAAAGTGAGGGAAATCCAAATCATGGATCAGAAAGAATCAAGGGTGAAAAAAGGAGTTTGTATTTCCATGGGACCAGAAAAGCTGATGCTGGTTTTCTTGAGTGTTCCCATTGGGAATCTAGGGTTTGATGGCTCTAGCTTCTAGTGAATCTTTAAGTTCAAGGTGTGATACGTGTGTGGTGTTGACATTGATTGTGGTTATTTGCCAGTTTCAGAAGGAATGGGCACCAGAATTGTTAGGGTGATGATTTAAGTCTTTTGAATAAAGTTTAATACTCCCACCTCACACCCTCATCCCAGTCCTCACATCGGGCAGGCAAGGCTTTTCATACTTCTAGTCTTGTCACCCTTTCCCAGCTTTATGTGTGTACACTCCAGGTTCCAACTTACCTCTGTACGTTCTACGCCGCTGTCAAACCTCATAGATTAGATTATTTATCCAGGATGTCTAGAGCCAGACTCATAGATAAACTCCAGAGTTTATAGATACCTAATGTCCAAAACTGTGGTATGATTTTTTAAAACTGTTATTCCTCAAAAGCATATTAGTGGCCAAACACCATTATAACCTAGATGTTACCAGCAAAGACCTCTGTTTTGCCACTGTTACTTGTTTTTGTATAACCTGATCTATATCACGTGGACCAGTTGTTGTCACTGCTGTGACAACATGGACGGTTGTTTATAATCCAGTGATACGAGAAACTGATAAATGTTTAAAATCTTTGTTAGAACAACCTCATTATTTGGATATTGATAAACAAGCTTTGATGTACATTCTGACTTCTATGTCTTTGTTTATGCTATTCTTTGCCCACAATTCTTCCCCCACTCCCAACTTATTTTTCAGAAAGCCATTATCAGTACTTTTAAGCACATCTTTATCACCATTCCCTTCTTTATGGAATTTTTCCTAATTCCAACTAGATATGGTGTCTCTTTCCTTTGAATAAGCATAGCATGTGTTTATAGCATTTAAGGCACATACCTTTCTCTGTTGCTCATTATGATGTACATAGGTCTTACATTGTTATTAATTAGTCTAAATCTTTGGAAAGATTTGAGGTAGCTTTTTGAAAATATGGACTATAATATCCAGCAATATCTGTTGTGTTCTGCACAATAGTAGAGACATAAATATTTGTTAAATTGAATTTCAGAAAAGACTCATGGCAGGAGCAGGAAAATCTTCACTTTTGCCTTCTTATAATTTAATTTTCTCATCTTTGAGAAGTGTAATGTTCAGTGCTTTGGGATCCTTTATCAATCAGTATTAATACTGTTGTCTGAATGGTTCAAACTTTTAGATTAGAGCTTCAACTATAAATGTAAATATAAAATAGCTGTTAAAAGTGAACATACTCTGGGGTATTTGATGTTTTTTAGGAAAAACAGTTTTTTCACAAGGTAAATGAGCGACTTTCCAAGCCTAATATTTTCATTTTGAATAATCGTTGGGATGCCTCTGCATCAGAGCCAGAATATATGGAAGACGTAAGTTATTTTTTCTTTTAAGTTGTGAAATATAGTCATGTACATTGTTATCTGAGAAAATAGTATACCTTATAGAATAGAACATTCTAAGTAGCTGTTCTATTACTTGAGAAAAGGCTTATGTGATAGAGACCAGAATATTAAGCTACTTTGGAGGAAAATTGTTATAGAAGTACTATATAATCATTTTAGATACTGAAACTCTGTTTTGTTAATAGTTTTTTATTGAAGTATAACATAACAGAAAAGTGTGCAGATCCTAAGTGTCCAGCTCAGTGAATTTTACAAATTGAACACACCTGTGTCAGGATCCAGCTCAAGAAGCAGAACATTCCCAGCACTCTCTTCCAATCTCTGTCCTCCCTCACAAGAATCAGCACTTACCATGACTTCTAACACCTTTGATTAATTGTTTTGGTTGTTCAACTTTATGTAGTGGAATCATATAGTATCTACTTTCGTGTCACGTTTCTTTTACTCAGCATTACATTTGTGATATGCATCCATACTCTTGTGCAGAGTTGAAGTGCATTGTCATTACTGTATAATATTTCAGCCTTTGAATAACTACATTTGATTCATTCTGCTAGTGATGGGCATTTGGGTAAATTTCCTATATTTAGCTGTTAGGAGTAGTGCTGCTGTACATATTCTTACATATGTCTCTTTGATGCACATAGTATATGTTTCTGTTGGGTATATACCAGTGGTTCTCAACCTGAGGGGTTGGGCAGTTTTGATCTCCAGGGAATATTTGGCCATGTCTGAAGATATTTTTGATAATCACAGCTCTGGAGTATGGTACTGGCATCTGTTGGGTAGAGGCTAAGAGCTGTTAAAAGTCTCAGAACAGCCCTCCCAACCAAAGATTTATCTGACTCAAAATGTCAGTACTGCAGAGATCAGTGATCTGTGAGTATATATCTAGAGTAGGATTGCTGGATTATAGGTAGAGAATATGCTGTTTCAGTAAACACAGCCCAAGAGTTTTCTAAAGTTTATACTCCCAAGCAGATTAAGAGTTCCAAGTGATTTATATATCCTTACCAACACTTGGATTTTGGTTGTTTTAAATTTTAGTCATGCTGGTGGTTTTAGAAACTTTTTTTTTTTAAGATTTTATTTATTTGTCAGAGAGAGTGGGAGAGCGAGAGCAAACACAAGCAGAGGGAGTGACAGGCAGAGGGAGAAGCAGGCTCCTGCTGAGCAAGGAGCCCGATGTGGGACTTGATCCCCAAGGATTCTGGGAACATGACCTGAGCCGAAGGCAGAAGCTTAACCATCTGAGCCACCCAGGCGTCCCTAGCAACTTCTTTTTAAAAAGAATAGAGTAGGGCACCTGGGTGCCTCAGTCGGTTAAGCGTATGCATTCGGCTCAGCTCATGATCCCAGGGTCCTGGGTTCAAGCCCCGCATCGGGCTCCATGCTCCGTGGGAAGCCTGCTTCTCCCTCTCCCATTCCCCCTGCTTGTATTCCCTCTCTTGCTGTGTCTCTCTCTCTTTCAAATAAATAAATAAATCTTTTTTAAAAAAATTGAGAAGAATAGAGTATCTGGAATTTGGTCTGTGATCTATAAAAAATATTTAATTTGCCTGATAATTTCTTTTTCTGATTTTGATCATAGTTTGTGTTTCTTTACAAAAAAAAATCAAAATTTACACTGTCCTATCACTGTTTACATGTTATTTGCGTTCATTCTTTCCCCCATCCCCAAAATTGGGATTTTGTTTAATATGAAGTTTTATATCCTGAAGTCTTTAGAGATCTGTTATCGTAGCCACAATCCTAGAGGCTAGTACTAAACCCCAACTAGTTTCACCCTTAGTCCTATTTTTTTTTTAATTTTTATATTTTTAAAGTTTGAAGTAATCTCTACACCCTACATGGGGCTCAAACTCACAACCCCAAGATTGAGTCACATACTGTACTGACTGAGCCAGCCAGGTGCCCCTCTTAGTTCTGATTTTAATACCTAAGTGTTAATCTTAAACCTAAATTGCAACCCTAATCCCTAGCTAATGCGTTCTCCCCAACTTTAATTCTCAGTGCTTTAAGAAAAATAGACTATTTATGTTCTGATTTCACAATAAAAATAGCTTCATTGTAGCAAATTAATTGTAGCACTTATTTTCTGATATCAAAGATACTAATAGCTTCATTGTAAGAAAATTTGGAAAATAAGCATAAGAAATAAAAATGCCACCTGGTTTGTGGTTGTTGCCTGCATGTCACCTGTTAATTTTCACAGATACATATACACATTTTTTTTGTAGTATAGTCATGTTTGTCAATAACACAGAAATAAGAACCTTTTCCAAAGGCAGTAAGTACTAATATTTGTCTACAATATGTTGGAAAATGGCTGCAGAGTATGTGGTGGCCCATCAGAATTTTAAATGGTCAAAGAAGGATCATTACTTTAAGAGAAAGTATTCTATTTATTAGAATTTTTGGATTTGTTAAGTAATATGGGAGCTATTACTTATTATAATATCACTATAAATGGAGTTTAGTATAGGCCGATAGCTGTCAGTTACATTTGTTTAATTACTAGAATTATTTCAGTACCCTGTTTTCTCTAGGTACGCAGACAGCACATGGAAAGATGTCTACATTTCTTGGTGGAGGAGCTTAAAGTTGTGGATCCTTTAGAGGCACAGAATCGTATTTTCTTTGTTTCTGCAAAGGAAGTTCTTAGTGCTAGAAAGCACAAAGCACAGGGGATGCCAGAAGGTGGTATGTATTATTATAGATTGTCTTTTGAAATACGAGTATAGTTATAGAAATAACATGCTGGAAATCTTACCTTGCTGTATCCTAGGTTTTAAACTCTTCACGTAAATATTATAGGTGGGGCACTTGCTGAAGGATTCCAGGCAAGATTACAGGAGTTTCAGAATTTTGAACAAATCTTCGAGGTAGGAATTTTGTGAATGTATTCACTAATATAAAACCCTAACACTGGTTGGAGAATGATCATAATCTTCTGTTGCCACTCTTTATCTTTGTCAAATAACCTTTGCTTGCTGTTATTTAGTATAGTTACTGCTACAGCAAGTGAAGCAAGTTTGAAGAAAGGAAGTCCCTGCAAAATGGATGATCCGTAAGAATTGAGAATTAAAGATTGTAATTTCTTATTTTTGCTTATGTAGTTGTATTTAAATGGGAAACTTTTTCTGATATTGCATGTGTTGTGCAATGAGTGAAATTCTCTTTATTCAGTAATTTGAGGCAAGATTAAATAAATGTAATTGCTGTTGGAATGGGTAATGGAGCAAAGTGAAGATTATCTTTTTTTGTACCATACTGTTGATAGATAAAGAATATAGTTAATGTCATTTGACAGAAGTTTATTACATTTTAAACTGTGTTGTCACCTGTTTATTCTCCACATTTTATGTCAAATGTCCTAAATGAAAGAATACAAAAATAATTATGATATAGGGTATCCTATAGTTTAGGAATCTGGTAGGAACTACTGGCGCACATGAATAGCTAATGTATTTGCAGCATTGGGAAGGAAGGATACTTCCTTGTATTTTGGTGTAGGCATTTTATTCAGAGACATTAAAACATCCTACATTTGAGTGAAGAGTTCTTTAGATGTTAATTTCCAAACTCTTATTTAGCCCTATTTAATCTAGCTCTGCTTAGTTTTATATCCCCTTTTCACCCATGAATGAACACGAAGACTTCAGAACTTAAAAAAACTTCTTTCTGTAATTATTCTTCCTTTAAGTCGTAACAGCTTTAATAGTAAGGACATGAATGTTGAATGTACTTGGCAGAATTTTTTGAATTAAATATTCGCTATCTCCCATCTTTAATTTGGTGAGTTGGAGATAGACTATTATGTAGATGAAAACAAAGTATTTAAAGAAGGAAAGCCCACTAGTGGCTATCTTGGTAAGATCTCTCTAAAGTCAGAGGCCCCTGGGATAATAGCATATGTTGTCCCAAGCTAAACCATAGATTACATGACGTCCCAGTCACTCAGAGATCATTGTTTATATTCTTTCCTTTTTGCTTTCACAAGATTCAGTGCTCTCCTTACTCTTTCTCAATTATTTCATCCATGGGGAAAATATTGGGGAGAGGATGTATTGTTCTGTCTCCCTTTGTCTTATTTATTGACCTTTTCTTTCTTTCCTTTCTTTGTGTGTTAGATATTTGTCATTGATTTCTCCTACCAAATCATATTGTTCTCTTAACGCATTTATAACCTCTTTCATATTGGTTCCTGCTACCCAGATAGAATATCTCCTTGAAGAAGTGGGAATGAGAAGAGCAAAAGCTGTGCTGTAGAGCACTGGTTCCTAAACCTTGACTGATCATAAGAATCACATGAGGTGCTTTAGAGAACTGCAGACTCCTGAATTATCCCAGAGACCGATCGAGTGGGGCTGGGATGGACCTAGGAATCCGCATATATTCAAAGCTCCCCAAGTGATGGCAATAATCAGGCAGACCTAGGAATTACCGTTTTTTAATGTTTTTAGAAGAAACTCGGCAGTTTTTTATTGTAATAGTTCATTTGGGAATCTAAAAATTATGTATGGAAAAAACTATGTGCAAGAGCTTTTACATAAAGTGGAGAATGTCGACCTTAGAGTTTGAAATATTTGTTCAATTAAAAGTGTGATAGATTTAATATGAGAATCAGCTAGAAGTTATTCAAACTTACCTAAAGAAATAATTAGATGGGCAAAAAGTCTTGTCTTGGTGGCCAAAGCATTTTTTGATGATTACATTGACAACTCTTCAACTTTTTTTCCAGAGTAAAATGTGTTACTTCTTAAATCAATTTTGGTAATTTAAGATTTCATATAAATTGGCATATTTTAAGAATTTATAATTTAGTAGGATAAAATTGTTCATTTTTAAAAAACTTCTGTATTCTTTCTCTTTTCTATATAGACATACGTACATATTTGTGAACACGTGTATATATTCTAACCTTAATTGGATTTGCCAGTGATTTAATTACTCTGCTTTATCCTCCAAAGACCTAGCCCCAGCCTTTGGTTTATTTTTCCATTCATAAATAGCATTTTTTGGTTTTTATTCATTAAATTCTATGTTAATCTTTAAACATAGTTTTTTCTGCCTTTTTTATACCTTTTTTTAAGTGGAATTGTCTTTTGCTTTTTATTCTTTAGGAAAGAATTTAGGTCTGTGAATTTGTGATGTAACTTTGGACATATACCATAGGTTTTGGTATCCAGTTTAGTTTTCATTATCTTTAATAGTTTTTAATTGTAGTTGTTGGCATTTTCTATTCAATACAGGAGTTGTTAAGAATCCGATGTTTTGGGGGCGCCTGGGTGGCTCAGTTGGCTAAGCGGCTGCCTTTGGCTCAGGTCATGATCCCAGGGTGCTGGGATCGAGCCCCGCGTCGGGCTCTCTGCTCAGCAAGAACCTGCTTCTCCCTCTCCCTCTGCCTGCCTCTCTGCCTACTTGTGCTCTCTCTCTCTCTCTGTCTCTCTGTCAAATAAATAAAAAAATCTTAAAAAAAAAAAAAGTAAAAAAAAAATCAGATGTTTTGATTCTTTTCATCCAACTTTTGGTTATTTATTTCTTGGTTTCTTTGCATTGTGATCACAGAATGTGTCCTTATATACATTTTCTCTTTGTTTTTAGAATTCACTTTTTTTTTGGAGTCTTTAGAAAATGATTTTTGTGAAAAGAAAGTACCAAGTTTATCATTTTTAGCGGTCTGATCTTTGCCATAGACTTTTTGGGTTTCATTTGGTTCTTATGAGCAAAACATTACAGGAACATTTGGAGTACCAAGTTTAAATAATGCTTGAAAATTAAATCTGTTAAAATCAATCAAGAAAATCAGTGTTAATTCTGTCAATATGTTTCTTACTGTTTTAAACCTGTGTTTGAACAAGTGTGTATTCTAAAGATAATTTAGAAATCTAAATATCTTTGCTCAAATATTTGGCCATTAACTGTTCTTAATTTGATTATAAGATGGAAAACAGGTACAAAATAATTCTACTCTAAAATGTCAGTGAATTTGTTGTAAAGGACATTCTGGGACAACTGGTGAAATTTGAAAATGGACTGTGTGTTAGGTTAATAGTACTGCCCCAGTGAATGCAATAATTGTTTCTTGGTTGTATAGGAAAATGATCCCATTCCTAGGGACACATGTTAATATATTTAGTAGTAAAGTTGTGGTGGCTGCAAAGAACTATCAAACTGTTCAGCAGGAAAAAATATCTATAAAAATATATGTGTATCTCTCTATATAGATATATCTGTATGGAGAGGGAAAAGGAAAGGAAAACAAATTAGAAAGGTATATCGTATATTAGTATTTTTTTCTTGCACTGCCCTGTCAGTTTAAAATCTTTAAAAATACTAAGTTGAGAGTGATGAATAGCATGTTATTGGATGTTTGGGGTCTGTTAAGAGGATTTGACAAAGTCATTTTATGTCTTAATTACACATAAATATTAATATCTACAAATCTATAACAGCTGGCTTCTTTAGATATTATTAGAAGGTTAGAAAACTATCCTCACTGAGATGTGATTATTGTTTTGGCTCTAAATCCTTAATAAGTTTTAAGATAGTCTATAGGATAATCGGACAAGATGGCATTTAAAATGGTTTGGTGTAGTATTTTAACCTTCTCCTTGGAAAATTAGAGTTCCTGATAAAGTAAGTCTGGAAATTGCTGCTCACTATGTATGTTCTCTGTGGGGATTCATAAGCATATTAGTGTAGTGAGGGTTCTGAGAAATAATTCAATTTTAAAAAACCTGTATTTAACATTTCCCACAACTCAGAATAGAGTATTTCTTTTGCAGGTTGACTTGGTATTTTTGTGATCATTGGGAACATCAGTGTGGGATACTTCCTAAGTAGAAGAAGATTGCTTATTCTCTTTATATTTATTCATGACATGATTGTATATTTTTAAATAAGAAATGACTTTTATATTGCCTAATAACTTTTGAAAATATTTTCTTTCTGGTCTAGCTCTAATACTGTGCTGTTATCTATAAAATTTGGGTCTTCATTGCTGATACCTAGATCTGCTTCATCGAGGAACATAGAATTTCTTTTAACCTTTTTTTCTTTTAAATTTTCATGGTTTTATTATCATTTTTATGGAGGTTAATTTGTCAGTTTATGAGATATAGTTATTTAAAGAAAATCAAAGCTTTTGTTTTGGTTGTTAAAAATAAGCAGCTTATACTTTTAGGGCGCCTGGGTGGCTCAGTTGGTTAAGCGACTGCCTTTGGCTCAGGTCATGATCCTGGAGTCCCAGGATCGAGTCCCACATCGGGCTCCCTGCTCAGCAGGGAGTCTGCTTCTCCCTCTGACCCTCTTCCCTCTCGTGCTCTCTATCTCTCATTCTCTCTCTCAAATAAATAAAATCTTTAAAAAAAATGATTTAAAAAAATAAGCAGCTTATAGTTTTAACTGTTTAATATTGTGTAGTTATTGGTGGTTTTTCTGTAGGCACAAATAGAACGGGGAATACAGTAACTTCCTACAACTAATCTCTTCAGGATTAGTGATGTTGAGTGATGTATAAATAAGTTTAACCATGAACAAAGTTAGGCTATACAGTGAAAGAAAGTAATGGGCTAGAGTTAAGGCTTTATAAATTGTTAAATAAATGAATTACCCTCACGTGTCCTATAGCTAAGGAAGTGAATCTGTTTTATTTTTCATACCTCAAAGTACTGAAGAGGACAGCTAAAATGTCAAAAGAAATTTTAAAAGTTTTTTCTTAGTGAATTGAATAGGTAATCATTTTAGAGATGTGAAGGCTCTAGGTTATAAATAGTATATTGAATGAATGTAACATAGTAATGATTTCAGTATAACAAATACTATAGTATTAAGTGAATACTTTAAAGCTTGAAAGCCATTTATTGTGGCGAAGGATAGTTACCACAATTTATACTGGTTACAATAAAAAAGGGGTTCAAGAAGATGAATTCATGGAAATCATGGAGATTGGGGTATATCCCTAATTTTTAAAAATTCATCACGGGGCGCCTGGGTGGCTCAGATGGTTAAGCATCTGCCTTCGGCTCAGGTCATGATCCCGGGGTCCTGGGATCGAGCCCCGCATCGGGCTCCTGGCTCGGCGGGGAGCCTGCTTCTTCTCCTGCCTCTGCCTCTCCCCTGCTCATGCTCCCTCTCTGTATCCCTGTGTCTCAGATGAATAAATAAAATCTTCAAAAAAATAATAAAAATTAATCACAGCGAATAAATGTGGCTTCCTACAAAACACCTGTTGTAGTTATTGCTGCTTTGACCCAGACAGGCATTTCTTGATTGTTCGAAGACCAGACGGCCCTCCTCTGTAAACACTTGTAGTTGTTTTTAGATGTTATGTCAGTGCAGAATTTAACTTCTATGAAGTAAGAATGAAAGGACAGTTTAACGTAATAATCTTGTGAGCTTTCGATGATGAATTCACAGTAAATATTTTAAATAACAAGTAGTATGCACATGTATTGAAATTGAAACAAATTTTATAGTTATAAATGTATCCATTACTATATGTGATGCATTCTAATATATTCTATTTAAAAAAAAAAAACGCAAAACTGGTTGTGAAACCTGATTTGTACAGCTGTGAATGGTTTATGAGCTATAATTAGCTTGAAGGTGAAACAAATGAGATAGGGCATCCGAACTGTATGCACACACTATAGAGCAAGGACAATTACAGGATTATTTTGAAATAGCTGTAGATATTTTTCTAAACAAAATATCCTATAGGTTGTTGCTAAAGAGTATTTTTCAAGTTCAGATATTAATGACTATGTGAATCCTGTCAACTAATTTCTTAAATTGTGGAATTCTAATTCATAAGTCAATTAAGAACTTTATTAGGTATTGTAAGCATGAGAAAAATCAAGACAAAGAGTAGATTAAAGGCAATCCCGATAAAATTGGTAATTTTAATGGAGAAAGCTTTAACATTGACAACAGTACCCTGCTTATTTATTCATTTATTTTTAAAAATATAGTCAAAAAACCATTGCACATTACTGTGTAAAATTACACAAAGATATGAACTTGCTGTTAATGCCGTTTACTTTTGATTTCTTGTAGGTTTTTTTAACCTTTGTTATTTTGAGTTGTGTTTATCGTGCATTTATTTTCTGCTCTTATTTATGTTTTGGTTATCATTACAAACAGCAAGTGTTTGTGTTTAAATTCCTGAAAATCTTGGGATGGAATTACAGTAATGTGTTATGGCTTGGGCCCTCGCAGGAGTGTATCTCGCAGTCAGCAGTGAAAACAAAGTTTGAACAGCACACTATCAGAGCTAAACAGATACTAGATACTGTGAAAAACATAATGGATTCAGTAAACGTGGCAGCAGCAGAGAAAAGGTATGAATTCATTTTATTGCAAAATAAAAATGTCAGTTCGTGTCAGTATAAATTCCTTAGACTAAGGTCTTAAATTGTTATATTTTAAATATGCACTAAAGTCAACAACCTGCTTGCATGTTTTTAAATGAATATTTGAAATTATAAATATTCTGCAACCTTAAATACATCATTGACATTTCCCGGAACTCAGTATTCTCATGAGCTATGATTTTAACATGCTTCATAGTTTTAAAATATCTTTAGAGCAGTGGAAGGACTATCTCTTCAAGTGGAGTTTTTTGAAGAAGTCCATAAAGGAGGTGGCCCTCTTTTTTGTTACATTCAACCTATGACCCATTTTTCATATATTTATACATTGATACCTTGAAATCTCTTTTGATGCCAGTTGTGGGTTTTTATCAACTGGTAAGCAAACAAGGTGATACTACCTGCCAGCCAGAAAGTCAATTTGGTAAAGCACTACCCTATATGTCATTGTACTGCTCTGTTACTCCATTTATTACCTTATAAAGATGAAAGTAAATACGTGAAATTGCTAACATTGCATAAAAGGGTAGTCTCACAAACTTGGTGCACTTAAAACAAAGTTGTGGATATTATTAGATGTGACACACGTAATGATGTTAAACCTTAATTGAACTGTTAGTGGGCTTAAGCCAATCAAGGGAAAGATACAAAGCATCAGAGATTGAGGACATTAAATTGGGAATTTTAAATGCATTTGCTCTTACAGGGAACAAATACATCTAAATCTATTGCCTAATTTTGACACTTGCTGGAATGCATCATGTATAAAATTAGGGAATTTGTAATACATAAAACAGGAATGAGAACTCAGTCTGATCTCCGGTCCTGTGCACTGTTTCTGTATGAGATTGTGTTGTCATTTATACCTCTTCCAGCTCAGTTGCTTTATCATAGTAGTCAAAGTGAGTATTTGGTCCACTGGTTGACCTTAATATTACTGATTTGAAAAATACAGGATATTGAACTAAACATAGTACAAAGAAGATGTGACTTGAGGATGGTTTGTATAATTATGTCTTGGGAACTCTCTTAGCTAAAGATAATTTAAAAGAATCTCAGGTCTTTGTTTTCCTATATCCTGTAGTGGTTGACAAATTTTCTGTAAAAGCTAGATGGTAAATACTTTAGGTTTTGTGGGTTGTACTTTCTCTTTTGCAACTACTCTGTTTTAGGGTAAAGACAGCCAGCCATACAGATGATAGGCATATGAATGGTCATGGAAACTGTAACAAAAAATAACAGCTGGCTGGATTTGGCTTTCAGGATGCCATTTGCTGACTCCTGTTTATTAAATGAAGTCAGTATTTTATTGTGACTGTATCTGTGTTTGGAGAATCCTTATTCTTTGTGGGATTCAGATGCCACATGCGCAGAGAGACAAAGTAGTTTATATAGTCATCTAGGAAATATTTTATAAATGAAATATTATTTGAATCCTTTTAGATGTTGAAATACAAGATTCATTTTCCCCCTGCGTATCATGCTAATAGCTGGTTCATTACATAAGTGAATGCCCTAGCTTAATTGCTTTGGGACTTTAATGTATCCTGAGAATTAATTACTCTGCATACTACAATAGGGTTTATTCAATGGAAGAGAGGGAAGATCAAATTGATAGACTGGACTTTATCCGAAACCAGATGAACCTTTTAACACTGGATGTTAAGAAAAAAATCAGGGCGGTTACAGAAGAGGTGGCAAACAAGGTGGGTTGGTGACTTTATGATTAAAATCTCTGGGAATGGAGAGACTGGCTCAGTCAGTAGAGCATGCCACTCTTGATCTTGGGGTTGTGAGTTCGAGCCCTATATTGGGTGTAGGATTACTTAAAAATAAAATCTTTAAATACAATAAATTTCTGGAAATGAAAATATTTTTGATAATCCTAAAAATGTTATCCCTGTTACCCTAAAGGCACATTTTGTTAAGTTTTTTACAATTTGGTTGAGTAGGTGATAATCTTGTTTAATTTTTTTAACTTCATATTTTTAGGTTTCCTGTGCAATGACAGATGAAATTTGTAGACTGTCTGTTTTAGTTGATGAATTTTGTTCTGAGTTTCATCCTACTCCGAGTGTATTGAAAGTATATAAAAATGTAAGTTAAATTGTTGTTGAAGAGAGTTACTCAGTTTTTCTCACCTTATTCTACATTTTTATTTAGTGGATTAGCCATTTTAGTGTCTTCATGGCAATCAATACATGATTGAACTCTTATATCTCCTGTGCACTCTTGTAATAAATATAAACTATCTTGTATATAAAGTACACAACAACGTTATCCTCTTAGAATAAGATCATTTACCATAATTTTTAAGCTTTCGTAAAATTTGTACATGTTCTAGAGAAAAAATAATGGGCCCATGTACCATGTTAACAGGAGTTAAATAAGCACATTGAAGATGGTATGGGAAGAAATTTGGCTGATCGGTGCACCAATGAAGTCAATGCTTCAATGCTTCAGTCCCAGCAGGAAATTATTGGTAATGTTTATGTCTACAAGTTCATGTGTGGTGTTTTTATTTATTTCGTTGGGAAAGGATTTATTTTCCTTTAGGTGTTTTATAAAATGTATAACATTATTTACTGTTGTTTCTTAAATATCATAATTTTGTTTTGTCTAGAAAATTTGAAGCCATTACTTCCAACTGGTATACAAAATAAACTTCATACACTGATTCCTTGCAAGAAATTTGATCTCAGCTATGACCTAAATTGCCACAAGTTATGTTCAGATTTTCAAGAGGATATTGTATTTCGTTTTTCCCTGGGCTGGTCTTCCCTTGTGCATCGTTTCTTGGGCCCAGTGAATGCTCAGAGGGTGCTGCTAGGATTATCAGAACCCATCTTCCAGGTATCTTTTTTCTTTTTTCTTTTTTTTGAGTAAGCTTTTTATTTTGTTATTGCTCCTACTACACAGTTATGTATCTTTGATTCTACCAGTTGAAATTCTTTTTTATTTTGCTTATGTGATTTCTCTAATAGACCTAGTTGTGTCCAATTTGCATATTTATGAGCTAATATCTATCACATAGAACATTTCTGAATTAAGTATACAATGCAAAGGGAAAGGCAGTTCCAGCGTTTTCGTTCAGTACTGTTGGAGGTTGTTGTACATTCATTTTGAAATGGTTTTTATTCCTTAAAAGTTTTTGTTTTCAAATAGAATTGAAGTTTTGACTTCAACTAAATTAGAGTAAATGCAAGCATTTAGAAAAAACTTGAATTTATCAATTCAGTACTTTTTCAGAAAATCTATGGAGTTGTAAAACCATCTCCACAGTCCAGTTTTAGAACCTGTCACCTCAGGGCGCCCGGGTGGCTCAGTCATTAAGCGTCTGCCTTCAGCTCAGGTCATGATCCCAGGGTCCTCGGATCTAGTCCCACATCGGGCTCTGTGCTTGGCAGGAAGTCTGCTTCTCCCACTCCCCCTACTTGTATTCCCTCTCTCGCTGTCTCTCTCTCTCTGTGTCGAAAAATAAAAATAAAATCTTAAGAAGAACCTGTCACCCCAAAATGGTACCCTTGTTCCCATTTGCAAGTAATCATCATTCCCACCTCCAGTCCTATTGCTGCTAGTCAGCTTCCTGTAACTGTCATATTTTGCCCTTTCTGGACATTTCCTATAAATGGAATAATAAAAAATATGGCCATCTGTGACTGGGGCATCTTTCATTAAGCATAGTATTTTCAAGGTTCATCACCATGGTACATGAATGTTGTAGCATATATCAGTACTCCATTTTTTATAGGTGAATAATATTCCATTATAGATATCACACATTTTATTCAGTTGATGGGCCCTTGAGTTGTTTGTACTTTTTGAATAATGCTGCTATGAACACTCATGTACTGTTTTTATGTGGACATCTGTTTTCATTTCTCTTGAGTATATACCTAGGAATGAAATTGCTGGGCCATGCGGTAACTCCATGTTTAACTTTCTGAGGAACTGCCAAACTTTTCCAAAGCAGCTACACCATTTTACATTCCCACCAGCAGTATATTAAGGTTCTGTTTCTCAACATTCTCATCAAGACTTGTTATTGTCTGTCTTTTTTATTTAGTGGATGTGAAGGGATATCTCATATAGTTTCAGTTTGTGTTTCCCTAATGACTAATGATTTTGAACATCTTTTCATGTGCTTGTATTGGCCATTCTTATATCTTGTGAAATGTCTATTCGGGATCATTTGCCCATTTTTAATTGTATTATTTGGCTTCTTATTGTAGGAGTTCTTTATATATTCTCTAGATACAAGTCCTTTGTCAGATACATGATTTCCAGGTCTGTTTTTCTAGTCTGTGGCTTATCTTAATTTTTACATAATGTATTTTGAAGTGTAGAAGATTTTAATTTCTAAGTAATTTATTTAAAGATTTTATTTATTTATTTGAGAGAGAGTGTGAGAGAGAGAGAGAGCACATGAGAGGGGGGAGGGTCAGAGGGAGAAGCAGACTCCCCGCTGAGCAGGGAGCCCGATGCGGGACTTGATCCAGGGACTCCAGGATCATGACCTGAGCCGAAGGCAGTCGCCCAACCAACTGAGCCACCCAGGCGCCCCAATTTCTAAGTAATTTAAAAAAATACATTTTTTTTAAGGATGTGTCTTTGGTGTGAGAATTTTAAAATACAGCTTTAATTCCTCTTGAGAGTTGAGGGCCTACTGTTATAGGTAGAATCATATAGTATGAAAATTCATCATCATGATATCATTGGTTCAGTATTGATCATAGAAAATAATTTTCAGACCATTTTTATTTTCTTCATATATTTATGGTAAACTCATTATTGGAGTCATTCTCTATAGATTTACTACTGTAATTATACAAGAGATACAATAAAACTTTATAAATGTAACTATTCCATTTGTAGTTGTTTAGTTGTAATAATCCTTTTTTCCCCAACCTTATCAGCTCCCCAGATCTTTAGCCTCTACTCCCACTGCTCCAACCAATCCAGCGACGCCAGACAGTGCATCACAGGAAGAACTCATGGTTACCTTAATAACAGGATTGGCTTCTCTCACGTCTAGAACATCTATGGGCATCATCGTTGTTGGAGGAGTGGTAAGAAGTCCATTTTAGTATAATTAAAATTGGAATTTTTGCAAAGCTGTCTGCTAGATCACAAAAAGAAAGGTATATTTACTTTTATTTCCAGGATACTCAAAAAAATGACATGAAAAGTTGTTGGTTAAAATTAGTGAATAAAGATGAGTTTCACAGGTCTAATCTTAAGTTTTTAAAAATACAAATTTATTTATTTTAAAATTGAAATATAACATAACATTGTATTCTAGGCATATAAGATAATGATTTGATATACATATATTGCAGAATGATTACCACAGTATACATTTTTAACAAATACTTTTTTTTCCCCTACTTTTTTGTTTTTATTATGCACTACATTAATACACTGCATAACCTTCTAGAAGGGGTAGATGAGTATGACTGAGTTATTTTTCATCAATCAGGAAAATGCTTCCTTAATCAATATTCTCCAAACCCTTTGACACATAGTAACGATTAACTCCAGAGACCCACCTATCTCTTTGCATCAAACTCCACTGATATGGGTAATAGGCAACCCTTTTTTCTTTGCCTCCATTACTGAACCTGTGGATGTGCGCCGTGGCTGTGCCGGGGATGACCAAGCACACGGCCATGACGCTGATCCCGGGCAGGATCTCGAACCACATCATAGCACGGTTGCCAGCGCCCAACAAATATTTCTTTAGGGAAAAAAAATACCACCAACTATCTAGTCCTTAAAACAATTGCTTCCTGTTTTCACTTCACAGCACATAAAGATATGATATTTGTACTTTGGAGTAATAAGAATGATTCAGATCCCTTATGAATACCAAAGGGATCTGCCTTAAAGTATTAAAGATTATTTTTTAGTAGTTCTTTTTAACTGTTAAAAGTTTTTTTTCCCACATCATTAACAACATAGGCCTTACTTGTTTTAGTTTTTAAAATCTCTGACCTAAAAAAAATACACATCCCTTTTTGAGATGCATTATATCAACTTAGCAAATGTCTGGCACGTTATAAAAGTTCTTGCCTGATAGTTATGTACTGCTCCTTTTTCATCTTGATTGATTTCCACTTCAGATTTTCTCACAGAGAAGGAAATACATTTTTTTAAAATACGGATTTGAGTCAAAGATCTGTAGGGAGCTGATGAGTTTGTTAAAATGCCTTAACGTACAATCTCCCTAGTGGTGATAGTCTTTCTCTAAGTAACCTGTGAATTTATCCTACAGATTTGGAAAACTGTAGGGTGGAAACTCATATCTGTTTCATTAAGTATGTATGGAGCTTTGTATCTTTACGAGAGGCTGACATGGACCACGCGTGCCAAGGAGAGAGCCTTTAAACAGCAGTTTGTGAACTATGCAACTGAAAAACTGCAGATGATTGTTAGCTTCACCAGTGCAAACTGTAGCCATCAAGTACAACAGTAAGTTGAAAGATGTGTCTTTGTTTTTTGTTTTTAAGGATTATTGATGTATGACGTGTAAAAAAATGCATAAACAAGAGTATAGCTCAAAAGAATTATCACAGTGTGAACACCTTTTGTAATCACCATCAAGGTGAAAAAACAGAATGATATCAAACAAGTGGGCTCAAAAATGTGTGATGGTAAATGTAATTTTTTTTTACTGTCACAGCCCAGATTTACAAGTTTAAATTTTGTTGTTGTTGTTGTTTGAGAGAGAAAGCTTGCGAGCAGGAGCCAGGGGTGGGGCAGAGGAAGAGGGAGAAGCAGACTCCCCGCTGAGCAGGGAGCCTGACACGGGGCTCAAACCCGGGACCCTGGGATCATGACCTGAGCCACCCAGGTGCCCCACCGGATTTACAAGTTAAAAGGCATAATTCTTTAGGAACTCAAGAGAATTTTATAATATACTGGGGTCCGCTAGTTTCTTTTATATATCTTAAAATTTGTTTCATTGATTTAATAAAAATATATAGAACTCCAATTAAGTCAATGCATAATACTCTGTATTTGGATGCTACTGAGAGCTGAATTAAAATGTTTTCTGAGCTGAAGATGATTGTGATTTAATGGAAGAAATACCATGTACATAGTTACAATAAAAGTTGAAAAGTGTTAAGTAATGTAAGTGGTAAGCCTCATAATATGAGGCTCTAGAATTTTATTTTTTTATTATTTTTTTTAAAGATTTTATTTATTTATTTGACAGAGAGAGGCACAGCAAGAGAGGGAAGACAAGCAGGGGGAGTGGGAGAGGGAGAAGCAGGCTTCCCGCGGAGCAGGGAGCCCGATGCGGGGCTCGATCCCAGGCCCCTGAGATCATGACCTGAGCCGAAGGCAGACGCTTAACGACTGAGCCACCCAGGCGCCCTGAGGCTCTAGAATTTTAAATCATAAAGGATAGTGGGTCAAAAAAGATTTCCCACAAGGAAGAGTAGCCTAATGAGTTTTAAATGTGTGGAATAGGAAGATGTAGGCAGAGGAAACACCCCAAACCAAAAGAAAAGTAGTGGGGAGAGAAGTGTGTTCGGAAACATGAGAAAATTTCAGTGTGGTAGATGTGTATATGAGGGGGGTACATTTGAATATAAAGCTAATACTAGGACAGGAGCTTGGATATTTGGGAATCCTGGGAGTGATGTCTTTGACATTTAGCTCTACAACAAATAACTGCAGTGGTGTGGTATATTGAATGGTTTAGGCTAAGGAGACAAGAATTGCACGGAGATTAAACTTTCAGACACAAGATCAAAGCCTGTACTAACATAGTTAGAGCTACAGAGAATGGAAACAATGAGGGCACAGATTGGAGGATATTTGCAAAATATTTATTGAGCTCCTGTCTTACACAATAGGTTTTATTTATATTAAGGAAGATCTTTTCTCTAGCGGAGGTACCTAGACCTCCAAAAGAAATAAGCTGAGGTTACATATGTAAAAACAGTTAATGAAGCTTTTCATTCACTGTGCTAATAACTATGCTAGAGGTGGTTGTAGGAAAATAGATAACTAGATCTCTTTCTTAGAAGACTTTACATCCACATGGAGGCAGCCTTGAATAATTACTCAGTATTAAAATAATACTAGCTAAATGTTGATTTAATGAAATATGAAAATAATGAAAGATACTTAATTTGTCTAGTATTGATATATGGTGGAATGGGTTGAGAATGGAGAGGAAAAAAGACCATGGGAAATATGAATATACACAGAATAGTTGCAGAGAAAAGTCAGTTAATCATATTCCAGAGGTACACACATACTAGGCATGCTCCCAGTTGCAAAAATAACATGTTTGCTAAAGCTACCATATTAACTGGCACACAAATTAAATATAATGCTTTGGTTGTAGAAACATGGTTCAGTACTGCTATGATTTAAAGTATTTTTTTGTCTAAGTCACATAAGCTCATGAAATTTTCTTGCCTGTTCTCAGTAATTGTTATTTCTATAGACAAGGGACGAGTGAGGCTTATTGTGCTTCTGAAGAAATACACCCATCTCATGCCTTTTTATAGCTTATTTATACTCACAACCATATATTAGAGGTTGATACTGCCTGTTGAGCATTTGTCTTGAGGCCAGATGAAATTAAGCCTCATAACATTCTTAACAGTGTTCTTTGATATCTTATGTTTTAGGTATATTTTAAACTTGCAATCTTTCTATATAAGCTTTAAATTAAAGCTTCATTCATTTTACTTATTTATTTTTTAAGATTTTATTTATTTATTTGGCAGAGAGATACAGAGAGAGAACAAGTAGGCAGAGAGGCAGGCAGAGGGAGAGGGAGAAGCAGGCTCCCCGCCGAGCAGGAAGCCCAATGTGGGGCTCGACCCCAGGACCCTGGGACCATGACCTGAGCCGAAGGCAGCCGCTTAACGACTGAGCCACCCAGGCGCCCCAAAGCTTTATTCATTTTAAAAGACATTCATGACTGCTGAAAAAATCATTTTTTATTTTAAGGGAAATGGCAACCACTTTTGCTCGCCTATGCCAACAAGTTGATATTACACAAAGACATCTGGAAGAAGAAATTGCTAGATTATCCAAAGAAATAGATCAGCTGGAGAAAATACAAAACAATTCAAAGTTCTTAAGGTATTTGAACCTTTTTTCCCAATAATATGAACATTTATTGGTCTAATTACCTGAATATAATTATGTAAAACTACTAGTGAATTTGTATTAAAACTTTCTACATTGGCTTAAATTATTTTCCATATTCCATATGTTTTCCATTTTCAGTGAAACCTAATTTCAACAAGAAAAAGCAAATCTAAAAAGATTAAAAGGAATTTTTTAGATCTTTATCTAAAACTTTAAGCCATACTAGTCCCCGTTCAGAGCAGAAGTTTTGTAATTAAAAGTGCAAGGTTTTTTCTGTTTTGTTTTAAGATTTATTTTAGAGAGTGGGTGCGTGCTTGCACATTTGTACCACCTGTGTGAGTTGTGGGGCAGGGCGGAGAGAAAGAATCTTCAAGCAGACTCTCTGCTGAGCCGGGAGCCTGATGCGGGGCTCAGTCCCAGGACCCATGAGCTCATGACCTGAGCCAAAACCAAGAGCTGGACACTCAACTGACCGGCCACCCAGGCGCCCCCAAAATACGAGTTTTTAGTCCTGTGTATTCAAGACCCTTAACTTCCATTTTCATTGGGGTACTGTTGGGTGTGCTTAAATTTGAAGCAACAAAAGTAAACAAGATATCCTAATATGTGCAGTTCTTATCATGGATTCTGTGGGGTCTGAGTAAAGTGTGCCTTCGGGGACCTGAGCAGGAATGTCACCATGAGGTGACTACTTCTTGGTAGTTCCTAACTTTCAGCTTTTATCCATTAGCTGGCTCACCAAGTATCAGTAAGCATCAGTTAATTCCTGCTGCCGTTTACGAGGGCGTGTGCTACATACAGTTGCCCATGTAAGAGCAGCTTGCAGTGTCTCCAAATTGAGCTAAATTTTGGGACATACATCTAAAACACGTGCAGTCGAGTCTATCCACGGTGTCTTAATCTGATCCACAATGACGTTTGTCATCGCTCCTCAATTTCATAATCTCTGGAAAAGACAACTGCCTGTCACTTAGACCCCAACCTCCTTATACATAAAAACACACCCAAGTAAATTTCATTATTCCGTTCCGCCTGTTTTAAGCTAGATCATCTCAAGTACAGTCTTTCAAATTTAGTATAATTTTTTTTTTAGGTAAGTTTTTTTTAGTAGTGTTTCATCTTGTTAGAGTAAAATGTAAATGATACTGTTGGCACTTACTGTAGCTTTTTGATTTTGACAGGACTGACTTGGGTAAGTAGGAATAGTTTTGATCTGCTAATCCTTTTCCTAACAGGAAAGTTTAAAATAACAAATACCATAATGTTTAGAATCTCCATTGTTACTAGATTAGGCTCAGCGATTCAGATAAAACTTACCTCATGCTTCAGGAGAGTTGCCTGAAGAAGCATAGAGTGGAGTCCATCTGTACATTAACTCATATGACCTTGACCATATGCTCCCAGCAACAGTGCAAGACCAAGAGAAAAGAGAGCAGCTCATTCAAGTATGTCCGTGCCCTGGCATAGTATGAGAATGGGAGACACAATCTGTGTTCCTCTGTCAATGTTAGTTCCTATTTTCCTCTTGTTAGGGTATTTGGCTGCATCAGGTATGATTCTAGTATTAAAAAAACTTTTGGTATACCATGGTCCTTTGACATCTGACAGCTACTTTATGTATACAGAAAATCAGTTATTCTAGACTATGTGCTTAACTTAAAGGGAATTCAAGGACAGTTATGACTGTGACTTAGAATATAACTCCCATGTAAGGTAACAGGACTCCGTTATCTCTTATGCTTTTCATTCTTAAGTTTTTGGTTTTTATCTCAGTGTACCTTTTTAAAGTTCTGGACATTGGATTCTGTGTTTACAGCAAAGCTATAATAGCATATATACATACTCTTAAAAGGTTGATAATAGTTTAATCTGAGTTCAGATAAATGTAGCAGCACCTGACTAGTGATTTTTTTAAGATTGGATGGAATGCATTTTTTTCTCATTGGCTTTTATGATAATTAGATTGGTGTTTTATTCATTTTTTTAAATTAGAAATAAAGCTGTTCAACTTGAAAATGAGCTGGAGAATTTTACTAAGCAGTTTCTACATTCAAGCAAAGAAGAATAATCTTAACAGAGATTGCTTTGGTGATCATCATAGGAGAAAATGGAACTTGGAAGATTGGGACAGTTTATGGAATGACCTTAAATATGAATTATACTAACTGTACCTAAATTGCAAATCCTTGTGTAGATTCCGGTAATGATCTATCTCAGGGTGTTTGCATTTCTGAAGAGTGTTATGATGTTTTAGTTTTAATTTTGGGTACAGAAAAGGCTAAATTGTGTTAAAAATGATGAATTAGTTAAAAGCAACAACCAACTATGTGACCCCTGAGGGGTGGGGCCTTGTTCTTAATTAGGGCTCTCTTTGTTTTTGATTCTGAAAAACTCTGCTTCCTGGCATCCAGGAGTTAGAGAATGCTTTCATCTTTTCTCAAAACTAATTTTTGACGCCTACCTTAATGGGAATAGTCATTTGTTTTTTGTTGTTTTATAAACTGTATTGCTCTATCAAGGAGGAGTGTGGAATGTTCTTGAGTATATTGTTTATGCAAGTTACAATCACTTTTGCCGTCCTGGCAGGTATGTAAACCACTAATATTACTGTTTTTAGTCCCTCTTTTTTCCCCATTAAAACTGATGTAAAATAGTATAAAGGTTTATGATGAATTCTCTCATAAAAGTATCTGGGTCTGAATAGTTTCTAAAGAAACATTTTCCGCTTCAACTAGGATTATGGCAAGGAAACCTTTCTATCTCAGTTTTAGGAATAGTTTGATAAAAATAGCCAAAGATATGGGAGCTCTGAATTTTCAGTGGTTATGGTCATGTACAAATGTTATTCTTCGGAAGGTATTCGCCAAGGATACTGCTGGACTGTCCCCCTGGGGGGGCCTTAATTTTTATTGTATGAATTTGCCAGGGCACTGTTAATACTATTTTAATTTTTAACAATGAAATGTTCATGAGTTCAAGTACTGTGTCTGTTTCTGTGTAAAAATTAATAGAAACTTATCTGGAAACATAAAAAATGGCATTCTAGGGCTTTGCTACGCAAAATGTAGCATCTAGATGCTTGTTAGATGCATGACGACAGTGCACTTGGCCAGGGATGGTTTCTGCTTCTCCAGAGAGCAATAAGATGTTAGGCTCTTTTATATCCATAATACTCAGTATTTCCTTTCTTGTGCCTTTAAGGCTCCTGGATGCTCCTCAGTCTTTTCATAGCAGGTGCAGCACTATTTCCCAGGATGTTTTAAGGAGAAAATTACATTACTATGTCACAGAAGCCTTTCAAAAATATATTTTTATGTAGATCAGATACTAGGATGCAGTATTAAAATCCAAATACTAGTTTATAGCTTTTGTTGTTGCTTTATAACCAAAAAATAGTACAAGCTACCAACAAATGGAATTAGGTAGCAGCTGCCACATGAAAAACTAATGTCTAAGACTGGGTACAGCAAATTTAGGTTACAAGTTTAAGATCTTAATCTTTATGTGAAAGTACTTGAACTTTTTGAAATAGCATAGTGGTTTGGTATCACCTCCTTAGTAGTAGTACAGTGGCTGTCAAAGTTTGGTCCCTGGATTAACTGTACATCACTTGTGAACTTCTGAGAAGTGCATACTGCAGGGTCTCCCCGACCTACTGAATCCAGTAGTGTTGCAGCCTGTGTTAACAAGCTGTCCAGGTGATCCTGAGGCACACTCAAGTTTGAGAACTACTGGAGTAGTGGTTCTGGTATAGTGAAGCTACAGTAAGTTTTGCATCACCAGTTTGAATGCAGTTCCACCTGATCAAGTTTGAAAATGCATGAATGTTGGAAATGTGACACTAAAATAATGAAACCCACCCTTTATACCTGGAGATCTTTGCACCTCTGACTAAGCCCATGAATTATACAGGAATTATGTAATTCACAGCTGTAGTTCCAAGTGATGGTTTACTGTGTATGTTTGCAGGATTATTTATAACTTTGTATAACCGTAAACTTTATACAGAACTACATTTTTATAAGTATGCAAGGTGAAAATAAAACTTGTTTGCCTGATAGTTGATAAATGTAGCGTTTATACTGGCAGTGAGTTTTAATCTTCATGTTTGCAGTAGGCATGTACAGTATCTTGGGTAGACTGGCTCATGCACCTGGCCAAGTAAGGAAGTTCCCTCATTCATTCATGTGGTAATGAAAGCAGTAACTTTGTAGCCTTTTAACAGTAGGTAGCATTCATAGTGGTAAGGAGTGTAGGTTAAGGAAAGGAAAAAGGCTTGGGAGTTTACTTCTGAGGCTTAATTTTTAGTGTGATTAAGATTTTATTTATTCATTTCGGGGGGCGGGAAGCAGAGGGAGAGGAAGCAGCAGGCTCCTCACTGAGCAGGGAGTCTGAGCAATGCGGGGCTCAATCCCAGAACCCTGGGATCATGATCTGAGCTGAAAGCAGATGCTTAACCAACTGAGCCATCCAGGCGCCCATTTTTAGACTACATGAAATCTGGTTAAAAGCACTTTATTGATTACAATATCAATTCACAGCAACATTTCACAGAGCTACTGTACAAATAAAGGAATGAATCATTGTGCAAGAAAGATCCAATACTATTAAATCATGGTACAAGTCCATAGTTTGGCTTAAAGCTTTTATGAGCTTTAATCTACGTTCATTGCCCATAGTCCTACTACTGACATTCAAAGTCAATTGGCTACAAGTTTGTAGAAACCACTGTAGGTGAAGAAAAACATTTTAATCAGCTTTAAAAACCCACTTCTATGTGGATGCCTTTGGATAAGAATATGCGAATCCAAGTGTTCAGATGCTTTGAAAACAATAGAGCACCATTGTGTAAAAGACAAAAGGCTTGAAATATCTACCAAGTGTCACTGAAGTTCAATTAAAAAATAAATACTATATGATGTAAGATTTTGTCGGGAACACTTAACACCAGCTGAAACACATAACCAGGTTTTTCATGATGCTGCATTATAACCATTTTATAGGATCCTCAGTAATTGGATTTAAGAAAAGACTTAGGAAATTTTATCAACATGCAAACAAATCTGCTAAATACAAGGTGTACCATCAATCTGTGACTAATAAACTTTTAAAAGGTGCACTGCTAGCTTAGACATTCAACTACAAACCATTTTAATGAGTACCTATTGTAACCAGTTTTTAGATATACCACAGAATTTAAGGCAACTCAAAATGAGCAGAAGGAAAAACTAGTAAATACAAAACATAATACACCTAAACTTAATCTAATTTAAAATACCAATTTTTTTTTTCATTGTGCTACTCTTTCTGACAAGAAAGATGGTCTAACCTTGAGGGTGTTTTAAAAAATTCTAAGAGTTTAAAATTTTGCTTTCCACAATGGCAAAAGGGAAATTTGAAGCTGAACTTAGTACTTGATTTAAAAGCAAAAATTTTTAAGCATGACTTATACCCTAAAGATTCTAGAGAGAATATTGTGAAAATGATAGGCCCATTTAGAAGGCCCATTTACAAGATTGTTTAATCAGTTTCTCTAAGTTTAAACATCAACAGGTAAGCCACAAGTATTCACTTGCCTTGTAATTTAAAATGTGAAACATTCAACACTAACCAAAGCATAAATTTCCCTGAATGTTTTCACTTTTAAAAAGGTTAAAATTATTTATTAAGTCTGTTGGAAAAGGTCAGTTATAGTATTGGCACAGTATATTTTAGCAATAAAAATTTCATTGTCACCTGGAGAAGGCAAGATCCATTTCTCTTTAAAATTGCTTAACACGTTCCAGAAGCACCTACATCCATATGTCTAGGATACCAGTTTACTATCATCATGCAGTATCAGAGTTCAGCTGAGTTTACATTAAAATAAGGAGAATGGCCTATTAGACTCTTAAAATTGAAATACTAAACCCCAATTTTTGCCTCTGAAGATGAACTCAGTGTGGTGCATGGGACCATGGGATCCCAACTAGAAAAATCTGCGCGAGGGAGGGAGGGAGCTTGGATATTCAGTTTAAACCTCTAATACAGCTCCCAAAAATGAGGCCTGCCTGCCCATCAAGGTGGAGAGGTCTTTGCTATCAGCTTTTGGGACATCTGCTGATCCACAGGGCAATCACTATCACTCTTTTTGGAAAAGAATACGTTCTCTTAAACTATTCTTGCCAGATCTGAAAAAGCCACTCTTTAGGAAGTGATTAATGAATCTATAAACAAACATGCTGAGGCATATTATGTTTAATATTTCTTATAAGGTAAAAGAAAACACACACCAGATAAATGCAACAATCCTGATGCGAATTCTTTAAAACTGTATAGTAGTACTATATTACTCTTAATGGTTACAAGTCTTAATGCACAACACTTAAGACTATCAGCTGAACTCAAACTGCAAGTAAATAAATATATTTAGCAATTGGAACCTATATTACTAGAGAGCAAAGGTTTGGATAGTAAGTTAATGTGGTAATGAGGTCACCATTTGGTCATATGTATATAGCCACAACAGTGGTTGGGTCTTAGTTGCCTAGTACACATTTAACTATGGGAACTGCTTTTAAGCTTATCTACAAAGACTAACTCATTCTATCAACATGCTTAAGACCATGGATTTCTTGTAGTCTGTGCCTCTCTTGACAAAATTATCTTATTAGAATAACTTTCAAAGAGGAAGAGATACTCTCATATATACATTATGTGGCTATTTTGCACATGGCAGAAGTGCTTTCTTGAACAGGGTTTTGGAATGAATTGCTGAACTACATGGCAAACCCTCACCTTCTTGGTAAATGAATATGTTCCTTTAAAATATTCTTGCCTTACCTCAAAGAGCTATTCTTTATGAAATGACAGTCCACAAACATTAACTGCAAAAAAAGTTCATAGAAGTCTTGTGTGTGTTTCTAAATACACATTCATGCCTGCCATCTACAATAGTTTATTTATTTTTGGTCCTATATCTTAATCTTTACCCATTTTCTTTTTATTATCAGCTATCTTAAAACTGATACAGACTTCATTATAGTTGATGCACTTACTAGCACATTCACAATATAAAAATGAAAATTCACAAGTAAAATTTGGGGAGTACTTAGATTAGGGTTACATGTGATCATTAAGTTGAGACCTATCTCAATAGTAATGGACATGGTTCACTAAATTACAAAAATAATGCACTTCTATATATGAGAATAGTCCATGACTTCACCATCAAGCAAGACTAAATCTTCTACTGTCAATTATTTAGCTTTAGTTATAGGGGAAAAGTATCTTTGTTTAAATTGGGGGGAGCATTCTAGTAATAGACACATTATGTCATTGACAAACAGGAATTGCTTAGTACTTTCCTCTGACTCCTTTAAAGACTGCTCTTGGAATTTTTCTTTTGGCTGTAAAGTGGAGTCACTTGGATCTAAGCATTCTTTTTGGTGAAATCACTTAGAAACCATTATTTTGTGCCAAGGGAAGAATTACAGAAGAGCAAAAAGTCTGAATATTTCTTTTTAAATTTAAGTCACAGATAATATAAAATCTGAATTAATATAAACTATTTGAACATAAATTCATAAAGCTACCTTGCTACACAATTATAACTAATCAAGTCTAGTGACTGGTTAGATATATCAACACTTCTTTTTCAACAACATAATGCCATCACATATTTCCCATCTACATGTACATCAACGGAGAACACGGGAAAATTCTTCAGATGCAAGGACAATCCAAACGTTAATCTGAAATAATGAGTGTGCCCTACAAACCCAGTTCTAGAATATGAAATCACTAGGAAAGCCCAACTATTTAGAGGGCTACTCAAAGTGTCATTTGATCAGAACCAGATTTTTTAAATGTCAAGAACCATTTTTATGTAATTACTGCTATTAATATAAGAGTTTATGTATGTCTAAAATTTCAGAATGAAATCTCGATTCCGTGGCCTTCAGATTATCCCCCCCTCCAAGGACTGAAAATGAGCACTTATTTAAATTCATAGGATGGCAAAGGATGCACCAGAAACCACTGATGTTCAACAGCGACTGCCCTCAGAAGTACCTAGGCCTGTGAGCATTCTTAAATTAAGCAACCAGGAGCTCTTTTAGATTAAAAAGGAAGGTCAGAAATCAAGGAGACCTTCTTCAAACATAAGTACACATACATATGGGATCACTTCCATCTATTACTGTGCCTACTTCCTCCATTACAAAACTCAAAAATGTGGTATTATGTATAAAGTTAAAAACGTAGGTCTTAAAAAATGCAAACACAATCAAACATGATAAACGGCTATAATGTGTACATTCTGTCCTACACAAAATAATTTGAGTACAAGCAAAAATTCATCAAGGTTAAATTAGCTCAACTCCTCAAGTTAATGCACTGGTCCTTTTGATCTCAGCAAGCACCCTTGCCTTTTTTTTTCCCCCACTTGTTTTGTAGTTTACTGAAATCTTTTTGTATATAATAATCTCAATAGAAAAATCTTCACTTGCAAATATAAGGTAGAATTTTCTTCTCACATCGATAGGCTGTAGCACTGATTTCTCCAGATCGCAATGGAGAACAGAAAACCTATACGCACTATTAATTCCAGATTCTGAGAAAACTGTCCCAGGAGCCTGTTGCTACAGCCATGCCATCATCTGTTACACCTAAACAGCTGACACGGTTATCATGACCAGCAAGAACACCTGAAAAACAAAAATTCAGTAAAAAGTTAACAACAGGCAACCTTCAGAATTAAACAAGTATATGCATAAAAGATCTAGAAGGGTATTTAAAACCTAAACGGGGAGCCTGGGCGCCAGGGGTAAGCTAGATATGTGAGCAAAATACAATTCTTTGCATTACATGAATTTTTGACACGTACATCGGCCTTATGCTTATCACTTTTGAAATATTTTATAGTCATGCTTGGTTATATCTAGGGAAAGAGATGTATACCTTATTCTGCATCTCTAATTAAAGTTCATGATCCGACAGACGTTGCCACTGCTGTTTTCAAAACGAAATTTCAAATGCAGTTCAGTGAAGCAGTCTTTCACCACAATAACAGTAAGGATGTTAAGAATGAAGTTGCCTGACATCACCACTTCCAAAAATACCAAATTAGTTTATGTACTTTGTTCTGTTAAACAGCTAACACTGCAATGTTTTGATTATAACTTTGGTTATAACCAACTCATCTAGTGTTAGTTTTGTATGTTAAAGTTAAATTCATTTGATATTCAGATCACCACACGGGGTAAAATGAATATTCCCAAATAACTGCAAGGAAAATGAGAAATGTAAAGATCTATAAGAAAAATTGGAATATATCAAATTCAAGAATTTTTTTCTTTAATAAACTGTGTTTGAGTTTGCAGTATCTCTAGATAATGAAGCAAAATCATTTTCACCCAACTTCAGGAACATAATCTTGTCTCAATATTCTCTGTAGTACATCCGGCACAGCAATGTTTGGCAACGGGCAAATGTACAATTACAGGTTGAAATAACAAAAAATGAGCACTGTGACTAAATAACTCCTAGTCACATTGGAAAGGAAAATGAATTAGCAACTCACAAGTCGCCATTCAATTTTACTGTGAACGTATCCAGTTGAGCCAACTTGAAAACAAGCAGCTGTACGCAAAGCAAAACTAACTCAAGCATATGCTAAGTTATGGAAAACACACACATTCTAATTTTGTTATGGATACTAATTGATTCAATCCAGGCAAAACACCTAATATCTCTTTAAAGAAAAGTCCTAATTGTGTAAACACTGACTGACATTCTCAATAAAATCCACTCTACATGGGAAACATTAGAAGATAGGAAGGATGTGGCTGTGGTGGGAGGAGAGATGTTAAAGCTGAACCCTCGGGGGCGCCTGGGTGGCTCAGTTGGTTAAGCGACTGCCTTCAGCTCAGGTCATGATCCTGGAGTCCCGGGATCGAGTCCCGCATCGGGCTCCCTGCTCAGTGGGGAGTCTGCTTCTCCCTCTGACCCTCCCCCCTCTCATGTGCTCTCTCTCTCTCGCTCTCTCAAATAAATAAATCTTTAAAAAAAAAAAAAAGCTGAACCCTCAACAGAGAACACCAAGAAGTTAAAAAAAAAATCAATGACTCATTTGAATTGTTTTAAAACTTCCAGACATGTCTTTTGAGGGTCCAGCTTTAACACCACTCTCCCACTGCCCCCCAGTGTGGATACTAATAAACCACGTTGGGAGTGCGCATGCGTGCACACGCACACAAATCAAGTAATAGCAAGAGAGGCATGTTACTTAAAGATCTGGAAGTAAATACTTAGGAGCTACCTTTGGGAACAGGATATAGGGGCTGCGGCCAGAGGACTGCTGTTTTGGTAACAAGCCATGTAGCTGTGTGATTCCATATGCATGATATTGATTCTAAAAAATACTTAAAAATCACTCTGTGGAAGCTGTTATTCTTGACAGTCTCCAGGATGACCTGCTACACTCGCTAGTCTTCTGGCAGCTATGGGGGACAGCTCAGGGCTGAGGGGAAAGGGGGGCTGTGTCCTGTCCCAGACAGGATCCGCTCCGAAGGACGAGGATTCACAGCCGTTACAGTGCTTCCTGTCAGGTTAGAAGAAACTCCACGCTGAATTAGGCTCACTATTCATCTTTAGAGCAAAACTTACCAAACAAGAAGATATTCTAGAACCGGATGTCACTGCTCTTTACAAGATGGGAACATCACTATGGACCACGGATGAGAACTGCCAGCGTGCCCTTCCCCGCAGCTGTGAGGCGTCCAGAGAAGCTGCCCGTGTTTCCTGACAAAATCCAAACCTACCGTGACCTCTTTACCAACCTGCACGATCTCCTTTTAGCGTGTCCCACACATTACAGTTGAAGTCATCATAACCAGCTAACAGGAGGCGCCCGCTTTTTGAGAAAGCCACGGACGTGATCCCACAGATGATGTTGTCGTGCGAGTACAGCAGTAACTCCTGGTCTGCGCGGAGGTCAAAGAGCCGGCAGGTGGCGTCATCAGAGCCTGTGGCAAAGGCATAGCCACTTGGGAAAAACTAAAAGCAAAGGAACACACATTTATTTCACAGAAGTCTACAAAATCCATGTGAGGCAGTGTGATAAGACTCTGGGTGAGACAGACCTAGATTTGAACTGCAACCTGGCTTCTTCCCAGGTGAGAAACGTTGAGCCCTGAAAATTCTTCAACACTTCGGGCCTGAGTTTCAGAGTGTTGGTGAGGATGGAATGAACTAACATGCAAGGTCCATGGTTCAGCACAGAGCAAGTACTCACTAATCCTGGCTCTCTTCCTCCATTCGGCTTATTAAAAGATTCGAATCAAACATTACTGTTTACAGAATTTATATATGTGTTGTCTTAAACATGCCAAAATCCCATCATGAGAAATAAATAGGAAAGATTTGACAGAAGAGAATACAAATCATCCCAGTTAGGCTAGGTATAAAGTCAAGCTAGGAGTAAACTATGCATTATTAGTTTGTGAATCCCCTTTTCTCAGAACCTAGCACTACTCAACGTTTTTTTTTAAACACAGACTTTTTTTTTTTTCCATGTATCTTTTGGTCATCTGTATTACTTTTCTGAACTGATTCTTCACGACCTTTGCTTATTTTCTACTATGCTGTTAGTACTTGATTTGTAAGAATAACATGAATACAAACTTTATTTTTTTACAGATTTTAGTTTATAGTTTTTTATTTTTATTTATTTTTCTTAAAGATTGTTTATTCATTTATTTGACAGAGAGAGGGAGACACAGCGAGAGAGGGAACACAAGCAGCGGGAGTGGGAGAGGGAGAAGCAGGCTTCCTGCCGAGCAGGGAGCCCAATGTGGGGCTCGATCCCAGAACCCTGGGATCATGACCTGAGCCGAAGGCAGACGCTTAACGACTGAACCACGCAGGTGCCCCTATAGTTTTCTTTTTTAAAACGATAAAGCAATATTTCATTTTATGTAATCAAATTTATCTTTCCATTTGAGATTTCTTCCATTGTTTTTATGAGTAAAGTCCTTTCTCAGGTTTATTAGCTGATGTTCAATTATATCTTTTTCTATTTTTTTTTAAGATTTTATTTGAGAGAGAGAGAGCACGAGCACAAACATGAGTTGAGGGGAGGGGCTGAGGGAGAAGCAGACCCCCTGCTGAGCAGGGAGCCCGATGGGACTCAGATGGGACTCAATCCCCAGACTCCAGGATCATGACCTGAGCAGAAGGCAGACACTCAACCGACTGAGACACCCAGGTACCCCTCTTTTTCCAATTTTTTTTAAAGTAATTTCATTTTTTCACATCTTTTTATCTATCCAGGATTTATTCGATATACCGCATTCACTATAAGGATCTAACTTAATTTTCTTAATAGTCAAGTCATTGTCCCAGCTGTTGATTAAATAATCATTTTACTGATTTTGTTACATCTTTAATTCACTGAACTAATATACACAAAAATGTTAAGTTTTGTCTATCCTTTCTTGTACCTGTACCACACTTTGTAAAAATCCTAATGATAGTAAATTTTTCTATCTGGCGTGGCAAAATACTCATGGTACTCTGATTCAAATCCGTCTGTTTTCTCCTCCCCCCACCCACTTCAATTTCACAGACATTTGATCAAGTTTCTTTTCTCCATATCCCTGACTCATCTCCAAAAAAAAAAAAAAATCCACTTGGGTTTTTTTGAGGGAGAGGGAGAGAATCCCAGCAGACTCTCCCTGGACGTAGGGCTCCATCTCATGACCCTGAGATCATAACCTGAGCTGAAACCAAGAGTTGGACACTTAATGGACTGCACCACCCAGCCACGCCCCCCTCCATGTGGGTTTTATTTCAAATTTGTATTAAGCCTAAAAATTAGTTTGAGGGATAAATGATTAGCTTATAATATGCAATCTTCTCATTCAGGAAAACAGTATTTTTTAAAAGATTTTATTTATTTTTTAATTTAGAGAAAACGAGTCCAAGAGTTGGGTGGGGGGAGGGAGGGAATCTTAAGCAGGCTCAGAGGTGGGGTTCCATCTCATGACCCAAGCTGAAATCAAGAGCTGACGCTTACCTGACTAAGCCACCCACGCACCCCAGGATTATTTTTAAGTCATCTCTATACCCAACAAAGGGCTTGAACTCACGAGCCCGAGATCAAGAGTCACATGCTCCACTGACTGAGCCAGCCAGGTGCCCCAGGAATATTGATAAAAAAAAAAAGTTTCCACAAAATAAAGATTCTATACATTTCTTGCTAAATGTATGCCTCTTTCCTAATTTCTGTTGCTATTCCAGTAGGATTTTCTTCCTTTCTGTTTGCTACCTGGTTATTATTGGGGTTTGTATATGACAGTTGCTGATTTTAAAAAAATAGTTTCTGTCGCCCAGAAAATACACCGAACTCTGTGATATCTAGATAGCCAGACTCTATCACCTGCAAATAATGACATTTTTCTACTTTCTAATTCAGCTTTTATTTCAGTTTTGGGTCAAACTATACCAGCTGGAAGTTTCCGAACAATTGAAACAATGGTGATGGTATTATTGTCCTGTTACTTAATACAATGAGAATGCCTCCAGGGTTTTCACTGTTAAGAAGCCCCCCCACTTGGACTCTGAAAAACAAACTGAGGGTTCTAGAGGGGAGGGGGGTGGGGGGATGGGTTAGCGTGGTGATGGGTATTAAAGAGGGCACATTCTGCGTGGAGCACTGGGTGTTATGCACAAACAATGAATCATGGAACACTGCATCAAAAACTAATGATGTAATGTATGGTGGTTAACATAACAATAAAAAAATTATTAAAAAAGAAGCCCCCCCACACACTCAGGATGATGGTGGAGGACGGCAGTGCTAACAAGATAACAGGTTCTCAGAAATCCAAGTACTTTTTATTTTAATGATTTTAGGATGGTTCAAGCCTGGTCCCAGTGGAGATGGTTTTTCCACATCAAAAACAAGGAACTGCTTTTCCTTTTCAAATTCCCAAAAGGCTAAGGAACCTCTAGCCATCATTTCCTCTATCTACCAAGGATCCAATCATTAGTCCTCCCAGGCCACAGTGAAGTTTAGAAAGAAGGCCCTCTAGCAAGCAAAAAGGCTTCACCAGACCCTTACTGCTCCCTAGAGGCTATGATTTTGACCACTTTCTTCCACTGTAACAGCCAGCAAGATACTCTACGTTGTTCCTTTGCAGGAAGTCCAACAACACCATTTACATACATTTAACAGCAGGTTAAACCTGTTCTCTACCATGGACAGATGAAACAAAAGCTATACTCAGTAAAAGCCACCTAGCGCAGAACACCCAGTCACAAAGCTCACCCCTTTTGGCTCAGTGTATGGGGCACAGCTTGACAACAGTCTATGTTCAAGACACAGGATGACCAGACAGCCCGTTTTGTACAGGACTGTCCCCATTTAGCCTTTCTCCTGGGCAAAATTGGTAACAGCATTCTTTTACACTCAAAATTACACATTTCCTAGTTTGGATGATACATGATCACTTTACCAATACAATGAACTAGTTTTAATTTCCTGGGCGCTTAGGATGGCCCTAAGAGCTAGAGGGAATACTTTATAAAGTCTGCCAGATGCATTTAAAGAAAAGTGTGTGTGATGTTGGCTGTTCATTTATGTTGGGTTTGTTTGTTTTTTAAGATTTTATTTATTTGACAGAGAGAGAGAGAGAGAGAGAGAGAGAATGAGAGCAGGAACACAAGCAGGGGGAGTGGGAGAGGGAGAAGCAGGCTTCCTGCCGAGCAGGGAGCCTATGCGGGGCTCGATCCCAGGACCCTGGGATCATGACCTGAGCTGAAGGCAGACGCTTAACAACTGAGCCACCCAGGCACCCCTGTTTGTTTTTAATGATAGAGAAGAGCTTTCTAGTACTGAGTTTTTTGTTTTTTTTAAAAATGGGTGTTTGCTTTCTATCAGATACCTTTTGGTATCCAAAATACTGACAAAACGATTTGGTAAATTTTATCAATAGATTTCCTAATATTAAGTCATTCTTACATTCTTAGAATTTTTACTTGATAATTTTTTTTTTACCTTGACACATTGTTGGATTTGATTTGCTATATTTTTCCTAAGATGCTTTTATCTAGTTTTAAGGGAGACCCTTTTCTTTTGTTGTGATATAAGGGTTATGCTAGTTTGACACAATGAACTGGGAAACTTTTAGTCTTTTTCTGTGTTCAGGAACAGTTTTGTTTTTTGTTTTTTTTTTTAAGATTTTATTTATTTATTTGAGAGAGAGAATGAGAGAGAGAGAGAGAGCACATGAGAGGAGGGAGGGTTAGAGGGAGAAGCAGACTCCCTGCTGAGCAGGGAGCCCGATGCGGGACTTGATCCCGGGACTCCAGGATCATGACCTGAGCCGAAGGCAGTCGCTTAACCAACTGAGCCACCCAGGCGCCCCAGGAACAGTTTTAATAGTGCTGAAACTCTGTTCCTTCAAAGTATGGATTATTTGCCAATAAACTACATGGGTCTGAACATTTTAATAAAAAGTAGTTTTAAACTATCAAGTTTTCATTTATTGAGTCAGTTTTGGAAGACTTAGAATTACCATAAGTTATATATTTTATGATTTTTAAAATCTTTAAAAAATAATAAAATAAAATCTTTTATATGTAATATAACCTTTACTATTCTTAATTTTATGTATCTGCAATATTTATTTATCCTTAAGTTTAGCTGAGACTTAGGGAGTCAAATCTTAAAGAGTATTTGAATTTTTTAATTTTCTAATAGTTTTCTAGAAATTATAAAATTTTCTAAATATTTGTTCATTCAACAAGTATTCACTAAGCACCTACGGTATCATGCACAGTTCTAAATGCTGGTCTGGTGATAAATGGAAGTCAACAAAACTGACAAAAATCTTTGTCTCCATGGAGCTTACATTCTTGTGAAGCAGACCATAAACATGAAAAGCAAATAAAAAATAAGCATGTTAGATCATGGTAATACTAAGGAGGGGAGAAAAAAAAAAAAAGGCCAGGAAAAGAGCAAGGGCGCATGGGCAAAAGCTTAGAGTGTCCAG